CCCTGAGAATTTTTTCACAAAATTGTAAGCCTAGGGCTACATTCTTTCTTACATAAAAATGTTGGCCATTATTACTTTGGAACTACTTGCCGACTGTTGACATATTCCCAGTAGTTGCAAAGAATCTCAGAGGAAGTTGGAGCTGTGCCTTAGTGTTTGTCAACACTGGCCACTCTTGACAGATCCAGGCCCCAGGTAATGCCCGTCTTGATTATATTGTTTCAGAGGTAAAGCACTTTTGGAAGAAATCAAACTTGAAACAAATGTGAAAGAGCTCCATGCCAGGGGAAGGTAAATTCTGTCCACTCGTCTGTTTGACAGTTTTGTTTATGTACATAATATGTACCACAGCCATCCAGATTTGAAGCCATTTATAATATGTGGAACTTTTCCCTGTAAACAAAAGTGCAACTCTGATAGGATAACTTTTGTTTTGTTTTTGTTGTGAGTGGGAAGGTGGTCAAGGGATTTTCTGTTGTTTTCTGTCTCTAAATGTACATGCCGAGGGTGGAAGAATACTGTGAATTTAGGGGGTTGAATCTTTTTCTCAGCAGCACTTAATCATGGAGACAGGAAAGTGGCTACAGATTGTTGATGAAAGATTGACTTAAATTCATCATGTGTCAATAGCACATTACTCTCTGTAGCATAATAAATGCAAATGGCTGACATGAGTGTTTTCTGTAGATTTTGCTGTGGAATAGGAATGAAGTGGGAAGGAGGTTTAGGGGCCTGAAGAAAGAAGGAAGAGGCAATAAAATATTCACTAATGTTTCCAGGGGTGGGAATGTTTCCAAGAATGGAAAACCACAGAGTAGAAACCAGAGTACCAAGAGATAATCTTTTAAAAGCATAACTAAACTTCACATAAATTCATAAAAACATTCAGTATTCTTACAATAGAGTAAGGTAGAGAAAATAAAATTTTAATTTTAAATATTGAAATACTTTATTTTTATTGAAAATATGGTTTTTAGCAGGGATCCTTATGACAATTGTTGCTTTGTTAAGTCCTTACAAATATCCATATGAAAGTCACAAGAACCTTTGTGTTCAAAGGTTTAACATTTTTAAAAAGGGGCATTTTTTTTTCTGTTTGGCATTGTTCACATATAAAATACCCATTTCATATGCATGTCCATTACAGCTTCCTACTACTTAGTGAAGATTGGATTACCATCTGGTCACTTTCTCTTCCTTAGGATGATACCAGAGAGATGTAAGCAGACGGGTAGGACAGGAATCTAAAAACCAAAAATTAAGATGAATATCTAACAGTTTTTTGTATTTTTAAAGAGGTGCTAAGATCAGAATATTTGAGCTCAGAACATTTTTGGAAACTACAGGACACACAGTCACCTTGGATATGAGCTTTAGACTCTTTCTATAGACTTCCATCTCCTCTCTCTGTATTTAGCTATTTCCTAAATTATAGGTGCCACCTGTCCATTCTACAACAACTTATTGAGTATCTACCACTTGTTTGGCACTGTGGTAGTTACAAAACCAAGTTAAACATGACCCCTGTGTTGAGGGAACTTGAGGGCTGGTTTTAAAGTAATAATATATATATTTTTAAGAGTAAATGTCTCAAAACCTTCATGCCTAAATTGGAGTTCTTCAAAGCAATTCATTTTGGGAGGGAGAAGCTCTACACTTATTTCCTATTTTTCTATTATACCATCCTCTAACCCTCTTTACAGCTGACTTTTTCCTCAATTTTATGTTTATTAATGTGGTTAATACTTTGAATTTTCTCTGTCAAGTATTTACAGAATGGATCTAAAGGAAATCTTAATCCCTTGTGGTATTACACAGACATGTTCGAATTGTAAACTGTTAATAGTCATTGAAAAACAGAGACCTGTATTTCAGGAGTTGAAATCAATAAATTAAGATCAACCTGGAAAAAAGGACACATCTTGTATGCATCTTTTAAGCAAGAGCCAAAAAGGAAATGAAAAACACAATGCTGCTAGCCACTATCGCAGACTAAACTGGAATTTTGTCATGTTTGTTTTTCTCTGTCCTTATTAAGCTTGACTATTTGAAGAACCACTTTCCAAAAAAGCACTGATTCAGACCCTGGAGGTAGATGTGTTACATTTTCGTGAGTGACTGTGCATGCATGCTCATGTACCTTTGTGCCCACCGATGATTTATTTATTTGGCCACTAGATGGTGCCCTTTCACTTTGAATAAAAGTGTATTTTCTATTGAGGCGTTTGCTTTTTATTTTGCTTGTTCTGTTGATGCAAAGATGGTGGAAAATCATCTTCTTTCTTGATTTAAGAAAATCATATTCTCTCTTAAATCGGATATGAGGCTCCCCGTCCCTTTCTGTATACATAGGAATTTTAATGTGATCAACCTGTAAAGTAATAAATTTGTAGATTATCATAGCACTCAAAACTTACAGTTAATTTATTTTGTGGGAAAAATACAAATTCATCCTAAAGAAGCATTTTGTATAGTATGTATAAGACCAATACATAAATGACTACAATTGAAATATCTATGTGGTTTAATCTGCTATTCAAGTTAACAATCACCTGAAAAGCCAATAAAATGCCAATTACTGATTTCTCAAGGCCCAGAAACCTGTATTTTAACAGCCATGTTCTGAGAAACATTGGGCTCTAATCACCCACAGTAGTAGCGAACATTTTCAGTAGAGGTTAACTTCATTGTCAGCCAACAGTAACTAAACCAAAGTTAAGGATAGCTGAGAGTGAAATTTTGAAGGTAGACAGCTCTTTAAAACCTGATTGAAAGTAGACAGCAACTTGAAAACCTGATTGAAGAGGGAATTAAAGAGGCTGGTCCCCACCCTGAGGCTTTGACTGTGATATCTCCTTCTACCTGGAAGGTTCCAGCTCAGCCAAGTGTCTTACCTCCTTTAAGCCTATTGCCTAGCCGAGTTATTATGGACGAAATAAGAATTATTGAATAAAATGATCTGTTTACTTAAGTGTGATAAAAGTTGGCTAGAGTGTAATAGAGAAAGGGCAGCCCTGGTTCTTGTTAGGATGCATTAGAGAGCAAGCAATGCGAATGAGATGCTGTTGGGCTCTCTCTCCTAACTTATGTCGGTCAGACACCCCTTGTGCCTTGCTGTTAGGCCCCTCATTTCATAATCACTGATGCTTAACATTTTGGAAAGTTTTAACCACTCTTAAGACCTTTGACCTTCACAGTGTCCCTGTGACAGGTTAAGTGTCAGGGGAGGGATTACAAAATAGGGTAAGGAAGGGTGCTTGAGACCACGAGCAGCCACCAGGAAAGGGTGGGGACCGGAGGTGGTGACAGAGACTCAAATTAAGCACAGCTGCTGGACATCTCCCCGGGAGGCCAGAGGCATTCCTGAACTCTGAAGATTGGTGCACTGTTACTAACTGTGATTTTACCATCCTGGTCCTAACAGTGGGTAGCTTTAAGAAAAATGGTTTCCTCCCTTCTTTTTTGGTGAGGGGGGTGGCAGTTGCCCACTTGCAACATAAGAATATATGCTGTCTGTGGCATTTTCACCTGGGCTGTGGGATGGGGGTGGGAGATCACAGTGTCAGGGGAGTATGTGTGGTTTAGAAAAAATCCCCAGCCAGTGATTCTCATTCCTTATCCTAGAGAATAGATGCTTTAGGAGTTAAAGGATTCAGGCAGAACTGGTGGTAAATTGTGAAAGGTGCTCAGTGAACATTTACTGACTCTTTGCTGACTTGATGCATAGTACAGGACATAAAAGACTTAGCCAAGAAATCAGTACATTGTAGGCACTCAGTAAGGTTGAGACATGATCAGTGGTTATGATAATCATAATGAATTATCTCTATGTTATTCAGTTTTATCATAAAGCTAATGGGTATAGAACTTTTGACTTATCCTAGAATGATATTGGTCTGTGTCAGACTGACCTGTAAAATAAGGGAATACCTGGATTGCTGGGCAACTTGAAAACCTGATTGAAGAGGGAATTAAGAAGGCTGGTCCCCACCCTGAGGCTTTGGCTCTGATATCGCCCTCTACCTGGAAGGTTCCAGCTCAGCCAAGTGTCTTACCTCATTTAAGCCTTTACTCAGATCTCCTTTTCTCTATGAAGTCTGATACTCCTCAAGACTCTCTCATAGCTCGTACTTCCTCATCTTTTTGTCTTGCTGTCCTTTTTCATAACATGTATGTTCTGATTATCTAATTATTAATTAGTTAATGTGGACTAATTCTTTGCAGACAGGGATCTTTCTTCTTTACTTATCTATTCTCTTGTCCCTGGAACAGTGCCTGGCACATAGTAGAAGTACAGAAAAGTTTGGTGAATGAATGAATGCTTTTCTATAGAAAGTTTAGTGGCAGTAGTAAACAATATTAGTCACTCAATACTAATTCTGGATAAATATTGAATTAAATATTCTTGAATGAAAGTTAAGATTTTTTTTTTTCTATTAGCCTTCACTGTAGTGATGTCTTTTAAATTAAGTTATTGCATATAGAATGGATTCAGAGTTCGAAGACATGGGATTATAATGTCTAAACTCCTGAGTGGTTTTCTGGGACAAGTTACTAAACCACTCTGTGCTTTAGTTTCCTCTGTAAACAACCTCACGAATCTGTGCTGTGGATTAAGTGAATTGATGCACTTCCACCCTTAGAACAGGGCGGAGACTTGTAGCAGGAGCTCAATTAATAAATCCAGTTTATTAAAAAATTATGATATTTTTATTTTGCAATTATATGATATACTGATTTTGAAAAAAGAAATGTAAATTTAAATGGTTTAGCTAATTTTAAGGAAGAAAGTCACAGATAAATGAAAACTTGGGCATTTTCCATATTCTTGTTGTTACTACAATAACACACCTAGAATTTTATAATAATGGTAAACTCCAAATATTGAGTTTATTATGGAACCTCTTATGTTCTAAAGTCAATTTTAAAACAGAGTTTTTAAAACAATTTTAAAGAGTTTGGGAGTTTCGCACAAGCCTTTTATTTCTTATTTCTTATAGATCCCCATATTAAGGTTTCTGGAAAGAAAGAAGATGTTAAAGAAGCCAAGGAAATGATCATGTCTGTCTTAGACACAAAAGTAAGTGAATGTTAAGGACACTCAGATGTCAGAACCTTGTCTCTGCAAGGGCTACTTCATGCCGTTATGAAAGAACCATTTGGAGAAGAATAACCAGGAGAAAGTAATGGTGGGTTTTAAGATAAGCACATGTGATTCTACAGTGGATGTAAAGTTCTGTTTAATATTTGAATAGGTTATCTCATGCTGGGTAATTGAACTATACATACACACACACACAACTATATATACCTATATCTACACACATATGTATGTATTGTGTATGTGTGTGTATATATGTACACATGTACATCTTCAGAAATAGAAATTGGCCCTGATTAATATGGAGTAAGTAATAAGGATTGTAGGAATTAGATTATTTGCTTTTATGATGTCAGTAGAATACCAAAATGATCTTCTATATAGCTCTGTGTTGGATGTGTGTAATGGCATGAAATTTGATGCTTTCTTTTTTGTGATCACGTGCTGTCTCTTTCTCTCTCTCTGTCTCTAACTATATGTATAGAGAGATAACAGGGAAATTTAAATATGTAAAAATTTATACTCACTTGTGAGAATTTATTTTCTTTAACAAACACATCTAAATCACTTATTGTATACCAGGTACTTATTGTATACCAGGCACTTTGCTAAGTACTTTACATTTTGCACATATTAATTTGTTTGATCCTCGTAACTGACTCAGCATAAAGGTATTAAGTAATTTGTTCAGGACCCTAGAGCCAGTTAAGTGGAGAGGTGGGATTCAAATCCAGGGTGTCTCATTCTTAACCACTTTGTCTTGCCACCTGGCATTTCATTAGAATCATCTCTGATCGCTTTTGTTTTCATTCATTCTTTCTGTTCTTTGTTGGTTTTCTTCAAAATGGTTTTTAAAAAATTATTCCCCTGATAATTATTGAATAGTTTAGAATTTTCTTCAGGAAAAGGGGATTTTTGTGTGTGTGTTTTAAAGTTTAAACTGAAAGAACTAAACTTAAAAATCGAAATATATTTAATGGGTGTAAATTTAAAATTTAAGAATTCACAAGGTTAAAATTATTTTTAACATTTTGATATTTTGATTTTACTTCTTAAAGACTGAGTAATTTCAGTAGCAGTCTTCTAAATGAGAAAGGATTTTATGTCAGTCTTTATGATTTTACAGCACTAAATTCCCCAAATTAAATATAGTCCAATATGACCACAGCATTTTTATTTATTATGTCTTAGAAGTTTCCATTTTGCTTTAATGTAACTAATGTACTTTGAATTTCTTTATTTAAGCCATTTTGTGGCCAGTTATCTGCACTTTGTGTTCTCTTTCTCCCTTCTTTCTACCAGTAAGAGTAATAGATCTACTTTGTAAAGTTCAATATATAGTAATATAGGAGTTGTGAAAGCAGTGATTGTAAAAACTTCCTTATTCACAGTTTTGAGGTTTATTATTTCTAGTTTTGTATCATCTTAGTTATACAGTCCCACTAGCATGCATATCTTCAATCTTGTAATTGTGTTTTCATCTGCCTTTAGTTATTTGGATTAAATGTTTCATGAGTAATGTCTTTAAAGACAGACTGAGTAATTTATCTGTTAACTGTAGCTGACTTTATTTAAAGACTTCTTTCCCAAAAAATTATCTTGGTAAAAAATAAATTTTTCTATTTCTTCTGACAAATCTGTCTTAAAATGAGAATTTTTTTTTTGATAATCAGAGAATAGCAAGAGAACATTTATAGATTAAGATGATCTTATTAAGAAATTCATAAAATTTCCCACTGACTCACTTTTTGCTAATACCATTCCCTTGAGGGAAAGGCATTTAGGATGTCATTCTTTCCTTTTTCATACATCAAGTAATAATACATTATTTTCACATAGAGCAATCGAGTCACTTTGAAGATGGATGTTTCACACACAGAACATTCACATGTAATCGGCAAAGGTGGCAACAATATTAAAAAAGTGATGGAAGAAACTGGATGCCATATCCACTTTCCAGATTCCAACAGGAATAACCAAGCAGAAAAAAGCAACCAGGTGGTTTGTCTTTTCACGTGAACTTTTATGGGATAAATTACAGCCTTAATTTTCAGTTTGCCTATCTTTTTTTGTGAGAGGTGAGACCAAAAAAAAAAAAAAATCACATAGATGACATATAGTGTAGATTGTACAACTTGCTGCAAGGGATTGAAGGTGCTTTGCTTTTTCGAGGAGATGAGTTGTAGATGGGCCCTAAACTCTTGATCTTGAAATCATTTATAAAAAATAGGGGAAAATGTAATGGCCACAGAACAGAACCTTAAAGAAAGGCTGAGAGAGCATATCGTTTAGGACCTGGAAGCTTGCCTAGTTCAGAAACCTATCCATTGCCTGGTTCTGTCTACAGAGACCTAGAAGTAGGTACCTCCATGGCACAGCAGATCACCTTCTGAGTAGCAGTGCATTCATTAGTGCCTGACTTCTTACATTGCCTTAATTATGTCTCTCTAGTTTATACACATTTGTGCTAGTTCTTCTGTTTGGCAGCCAATGGAACTCACCTGTCCTCATGCAAGCAGTTTCAGTACTCGAAGAACAGATAGTATTATTTGTGACATTTGGAAGTATTCTGTCTTATAAACTAGTCACAATACTAGAAACTGTCACCCACAAAGATGAATAAGTAGTCTTTTCTCTACAGGGACTAATGGTGACAGTGGGATGTGTGTGTAAGGGACTAGACAGAAAGCTATACTAAAAAGCAAAGACAATATTCAGAATATTTAAAAACTGGTATGGCATGACCATTGGCCCTAAGAGCGGTGTCCTGGAGCCCCTGTACCCCCCCACTGCAATGCCAAGACTGACAACTTGAGTCAGTGGGTCATGGGAAGGCCCAGGAGATTTCAGAAGAAATCTCCAGGTAGATGTTGGAGCAAAGATTATGTACCATCTGGTTTGGAAGAAGTTCACTATTTTCAGAACCTAGTATAGCTCTGTCATTGAATATTGATATGTATCTGGTATACAAAGAGCTTAAACACAAGGGAGAAAATGCAGTGAACAAGAGTAATTATAAAGAGGGCAGGATGATCTCCTGGGGGTGTGGGGCTTTCAGTAAGTCCAGTGGGTGAAATAGATCAGTTGACATAGATTACCTGAGGATCTCATTAAAATGCAAATTCTGATTAAGCAGGTCTGGATGGGGGCCTGAGATCCTTTATTTTTAACAAGTTTCTGGATAATACCTCTGTATTTGTCCCTGGATGACACTTTTAGTAGCAAGCATATCGATTATCTGGAAAAGCAGATGTGAGTTTGATTAAAACAAATCTAACTCTGTATTTTCCTCCTTTTATAGGTATCTATAGCGGGACAACCAGCAGGAGTAGAATCTGCCCGAGTGAGAATTCGGGTAACTATTTATTACTTTAACATTGTAAATTGATGTCAGCAACATTTGCATTATAAGGCATTAAAAATATAATAATTGATCATTTTATAACCAAATCATGTTCAATCAGTAGGAAATAGTGGCAAAAGTTATTTTAATATCTATCTTAGCATTCATTATTTAAATGTTTGTTGTATATGTTCAAAAAGTGAATTTCTATGTTATTTATAAACTTTTTTCATTGAAAATGTTTCTCAGAGATGTTCTGGATTTTATCTGACTCAGTTTTTCTAGCTTTTATTCAATGACCATAAAGAGGCCTAAGGAAAAAATGTCACAGGCAATGTGAGTTACAAACTCTTAGGTTTCACAAAAGGCTCCTATCATTTAAAAACACTTGTAGGCCAGTTGTGGTGGCTCACACCTGTAATCACAGCACTTTGGGAGGCCAAGGCAGGAGGATCACTTGAGGCCAGGAGTTCGTGACCAGCCTGGACAATATAGCAAGACCCCGTCTGTCTCTACAAAACATTTTTAAAAATTAGCCAGATACAGTGGAACATGCCTGTAGTCCCACTATTCAGGAAGCCAAGGTGAGAGGATCACTTGAGCCTAGGAGGTTGAGGCAGTAGTAAGCTGGGATGACACCACTGCACTCCAGCCTGGGTGACAGAACAAGACTCTGACTCAAAAAAAAGGAAAAAAAAAAAACTTTATATAATGTAGCTAAACTTAATATCTATAAGGGCAGTTTATGTCTTAAAATCCATCTTCAGAAAAGAATCAATGCATGATACACATGTCTGAATGTCTAATGCTTTAACTCTCTGCTTTGGATTCTCATCATTTCATTTTAGGAGCTGCTTCCTTTGGTACTGATGTTTGAGCTACCAATTGCTGGAATTCTTCAACCAGTTCCTGATCCTAATTCCCCCTCTATTCAGCATATATCACAAACGTACAATATTTCAGTATCATTTAAACAGCGTTCCCGAATGTATGGTGCTACTGTCATAGTACGAGGGTCTCAGAATAACACTAGTGCTGTGAAGGTAAATTATTCAGATAATTCTGTACATCCTGTCTGTACAAATTATATGGGTTTTATTTTTAAAGAATATTAGACTAATTTGATTTCTAGAATTTTCCTTCATTCTACATTTTGGTTTGCAGAATATGCTGTATTTTTCCTTAGCTGTTAGAAATGCAATAGAATCTTTGCCTCTATATGGGTAGTTAATGTATAGGATGATTTCCTTCCACCCTTTTCTCTTAGGAAGGAACTGCCATGCTTTTAGAACATCTTGCTGGGAGCTTAGCATCAGCTATTCCTGTGAGCACACAACTAGATATTGCAGCTCAACATCATCTCTTTATGATGGGTCGAAATGGGAGCAACATCAAACATATCATGCAGAGAACAGGTGCTCAGATCCACTTTCCTGATCCCAGTAATCCACAAAAGAAATCCACCGTCTACCTCCAGGGCACTATTGAGTCTGTCTGTCTTGCAAGGCAATATCTCATGGTAAGGTTACTGAAATAAGTGTTACAATGTTTTTAAACCTCTTTGGATACAGTGCATGTTTTTGCACCCACTGTACTAATGTGATATTTAGGAAAGCACTTTGGAAGCCTCCTCAAATAAGGAAGTTTCTTGCTAAAAGGAAATAAACTAGAAGAGTAAGGTTCATAGTGCTTCAACAGGTTCAATTTCATTGCATATGTAATTTTATTTCAGTGTTTTCTTTTTAACTTAGACTAAACATGGAAGACATTGTAGTGAGATAATTGACTGCATTTTGTGGCAAAGATGGAAGGTGACTGTTTTCATCTGACCTGTAATATTAGTGTGCAGTTTGTATTTGGAGAAAAAAAAAAAAAAAAAAAAGGTCCTCTGTTTAAACAGAAAAGTAAAAATACTATTTAAATTTCACCATCAAAGACAAATTTTTTCAGCCCAAAACATTTTTATATTTCATAAATCTTTGATACAATTAAAAAATACTATTTAAGCCACAAATTGGAGTGTCACTTATTGAAGGAAGAAAAGCCAAGTTATATGTTATAATTCAATACTACTTTACTACTTCTAATTTATAATTGCAATATTTCTATCCTTCCCATATTTGTTTAAAACCCCTTGACTGGGCGTGGCGCCTCATGCCTGTAATCCCAGCACTTTGGGAGGCCAAGGTGAGCAGATCACTTGAGGTCAAACTCGAGACCAGCCTGGCCAACATAGTACCGTTTCTATTAAAAATATAAAAATTAGCTGATATAGTGATGGACGCCTGTAATCCCAGTTACTCAGGAGGCTGAGGCAGGAGAATCGCCTAAACCCAGAAAGCAGAGGTTGCAGTAGGCCCGGATGGCACCACTGCACTCCAGCCTAGGCAACAGAGGGAGACTCCATTTCAAAAACGAAATAAATGAAAAATGAAATGAGATGAAATGAAATATCCCAGTGTATGGATTGATCATATAGTAACAAAATGGATGGACGTGATGCTGGCCTCACAAATATTTGTATTAAAAACACCATTGTATTCTCTCATTCAGTGCTTGACCTTTAGTGGCATTTGAATCAGTAAGCTTCAGGTGTGACATTTAGTATTATTAACTTACAGAGTTTATTTTTGAGAAACTTTCAGAAAATCTAAGTTTTTATTGTTGAGTCCATTCCTCTGACAGATGAGAACTTGTTGGGATCATTAATAAGATTGTAATCCATGATTTTAAGAAATTTGTTGTGAATGATTTTTTTTAGCCAACCTTATTTTCTCAGGTTATTTTTAATATACTGTACTACAAGTCAGATTTATATTTATGTCCCAGAATTGTTGTAATTAATCTTCATTTTTTTCTGCTTTACAAGTTCTTTCGATGTTATTTTTTTAGTTCAGTGAAATTTTTCAAATATTCTCTACGGTTATTAATCCACATTTACACTTTGACCATACCTGCCAAAAATAATGACACATATTATGGCACAACATTGAAATAACCGACGGAGAAGTTAAAAGGCTTTAACCCATACTTTAAATACCATCACCATGTTGTATAGCACTATTCTTATAAAAATCACTTTCTGGCCGGGCACGGTGGTTTACACCTGTAATCCCAACCCTTTGGGAGGCTGAGGCAGGCGGATCACAATGTCGGGGGTTCGAGGCCACCCTGGCCGATATGGTGAAACCACGTCTCTACTAAAAATACACACAAAAATTAGCTGGGCCTGGTAGTGAAGGCCTGTAATCCCAGCTACTGGAGAGGCTGAGATAGGAGAATTGCTTGAACCCCGGAGGCTGAGGTTGCAGTGAGCCGAGATCGCGCCACTGCACTCCAGCCTGGGCGACAGAGCAAGACTCCATTAAAAAAAAAAAAAAAATCACTTTCTTCCACAGGAGAAATGGAGCATAGTATTTTATTTCTTTTTCTTTTTTTATTTTAGGCAGGGTCTCACTCGGTTGCTCAGGCTGGAGTGTAGTAGTGTGTTCTCAGCTCACTGCAATCTCTGCCTCCTGGGTTGAAGTGATTCTCATGTCTCAGCCTCCGGAGTAGCTGAGATTACAGTCGTGTGCTACCATGCCCAGCTAATTTTTGTAATATTAGTAGAGGTGAGGTTTCACTCTGTTGGCCAGCCTGATCTCGAACTCTTGGCCTCAAGCGATCCACCCACCTAAGCCTCCCAAAGTGCTGAGATTATAGGCATGAGCCACGGTTCCCAGCTTAGTAATTCATTTTAATCCTAGTATGCTTAATGGTAACCTCTCCTGATACACATTTACAAATTCCAGCACCCAGTGGGCTAACACTGGAAATTCTGTGCATCAGAGAAAGTATATTACATTGTTCCTGGACTCAGTAGATCAGAGGCTGTATAAAGAGCATTAGAGAAAAAGAAAAATCTAAAAAATGAGATAGTTAAAAGAAGGGACAATACTAACAATTTACTCCAGGAAGGAGTGAAGGTTTAAGCTGCATTAGGTTAAGTAGGATTTATATTGGTGAAGATGCCTTTGATGAGTTAAGACGGGTCCTCAATCCCTGGGACACGGACCGGACCAGTGCTGGTCAGTGGTCTGTTAGGAACTAGACCACACAGCAGGAGGTGAGCAAGGGAAGCTTCATGTGTGTTAACAGGGGCTTCCCATCGCTCACATGACCGCCTGAGCTCCACCTCCTGTGAGATTAGCAGTGGCATGAGATTCTCATGGGGCATGAACTCTATCGTGAACCATGCCTGCAAGAGATTTAGGTTGCATGCCCCTTAGGAGAATCTAATGCCTGATGATCTGTCACTGTCTCCCATCACCTCCAGATGGGACCGTCTAGTTGCAGGAAAACAAGGTCAGGGCCCCCACTGATTTTACGTTATGGTGAGTTGTATAATTATTTAATTATATGTTACAATGTAATAATAATAGAAATAAAGTGCCAAATAAATGTAATGTGCTTGAATCATCTGAAACCATCCCCCCTTCCCTCCCCCTCCCCTGGTCCATGAAAAAATTGTCTTCCATGAAACCGGTCTGCGGTACCAAAAAGGTTGGGGACCCCTCAGTTAAGATACCAAAGTACAAGATCCTCTTAAAGGATTATTGAGAGGCTGGCCTAACCTGGAGGAAGGGGAAGACATACAGACAAAGACCTGTGGTTGGACAAGCAAGTCTGGGCTAAAAGGCGGAACTCTTTAAATGCTTGATCATGTTTAGTTTTCATTCAATATACAATCAAAAGCTACCACTGGAAGTCATTGAGCAAAGCAAAGATTAGTACCCTTGATATAGTTGAGAATCTAGTTTCTAGTGTAACTAACATAACTGAAGTTAGAGAAGAAAGGAATTTTCCAAGGTGCACAGTGGATAAAAATAATCTGGGGCCAAAAACAGAAACTTAAGACATATAATTTTGTCATCCAAAAATGATTTTCTCCCCCTCAACGTTAATGCCACACCTGTCCTCCAAGCTATGTGAACTTACATAATTTAACTTTAATACTTCAGTTTAGTCTTTAAATCTGTAAAATATTGCGTTATTTGCAGGCATATTAAATTATCAGGTGTTTTAGTGATTAAATTTTTACCTCCTAAACATTCTATTGTGACATTTTCTAGGGTTGTCTTCCTCTTGTGTTGATGTTTGATATGAAGGAAGAAATTGAAGTAGATCCACAGTTCATTGCGCAGTTGATGGAACAGCTTGATGTCTTCATCAGTATTAAACCAAAGCCCAAACAGCCAAGCAAGGTTGGTTCAGAGTCTAGACCCAGAGAATTATGTATCATATCATATGCTGTATAGTTGTATTTTGCATACAAATATGTATTTGCATATACTTGAAACTATTACTCTATACAGGTTGAATATCCCCAATCCAGAATGCTCCAGAAGCTGAATCTTTTTGAGCGCTGACATGACAGTCAAAGGAAATGCTCATTGGAGCATTTAAGATTTTGGACCTTAATATTAGGGATGCCCAACCAGTGCAGATATTCCTAAATCCCCCAAAACCCCAAATCTAAAACACTTCTGGTCCCAAGCATTTCAGATAAGGGATACTCAACTTATATATGTCATTATATATTTAGTTATCTAATATAAATTTGTGACAGTATTCATTATAGATCGTCATTTTCTTTATATACGTGTTGGTTTTTGGAGTCCATTTAGAGTAACCATTATTTTTCCATATTTAAATGAGAAGGAAAGAACATTTGTTCTTAATTTGGAATCTGGTAACTTGAGGCTTTACTAAGTTACCCGAGAGTTGATAAGGCTACTTACATGTTGTGTGTGTATGTGTGTGTGTGTGTGTTTGTGTACATACCCAGTGTAATTCAGAAATTGTTTAGACTACTTACTATATGCCGTCTCCTACTCAACCTGGAGAGTTAAAGAAGAGGTGCCTGTGCTTTTTTGTAAATACTTTAAGGACTGAACTGTCTCAAGTTCAGCGTTCTTGGAACCTCTCCTCAGAGTGTTGTAAAATTTCAGTAACTACATGTAGAGTAAAAATTTAATGGAATAATCTTTTTTTTTTTTTTTTTTTTTTTTTTTGAGACAGGGTCTCACTTCTTTGCCCAGGCTAGAGTACAGTGGTACAATCATGGCTTACTGCAGCCTCAACTTCCTGGGCTCAGGTGGTTCTCCCACCTCAGCCTCCCAAGTAGCTGGGACTACAGGCATGTGCCACCACACCCGGCTAGTTTTGTATTTTTTGTAGAAATGGGGTTTGGCCATGTTTCCCAGGCTGGTCTTGAACTCTGGAGCTCAAGCAATCCAGCCACCACGGCCTCCCAAAGTGCTGGGATTACAGGTATGAGTCACTGTGCCCAGCCCAGAATAAATCTTTTATTAAGTGCTAGTAAAAATGAGGAAGGATGAATATTTCTACATTAGGATTGTTGTTTAAACTAGCACAACCACTTTGAAGAGCAATTTCTGATCATGTCATTATTCTAGAATATTGATTCCCCTACCTGCAGCAGTTCTACTTCTGATTATACTCTCTGAAAACAGGAGTCAACACGAGAATGGTGTTGAGTAAAAAAAGTATGTTGTATCATAGTATGTACTCAATGGCAGCATTTTTGTGTATATGTATGTCTATACAGTTTTAAGTACAAAGCATTGTCTAGAAGGATGCACACAAAAATCATGATGAGTTGCCTTTGGGGCAATAGAAAGGAAAATGGAATAAAGTAAACAAGGGAAATGTTCTCTTTATTTAACAAAAATCAGAAACAAGAAAATAACACTAAAATTCTGAAACTATAAATCTTATATGTATAGAATGGTGTATATATAATAAGTACTTTATATAATTTGGCATGTGTAAATAATGTGGTGGTAATCGCTGTCCAACTGAAGAAAAATGATCTTGCCTTCTCCAAAAGAAAACTTTAAAGGAAAAGATAGCATTGGTTCTAAGTGAACTTGATATAGTGAGTTTAAAGTTAGGGAACAGGACATTAATTTTATGTATCGTGAAGCTTCATGTGTGACTAATTTGAGTTGACCAGAGTCACTGTAGATCCCAGGACTAAAAGATAAAGATAGGAGAGACACTACAGAGCTTGTGCATATTAAGATGGACAGGCAGAAGAATTCCAGGAGTTCAGTAAGAAATTAGCAGAAGTCAGAGAAAAATAGATTGTAAATGAGAACTCCAAAGCCTTGCAGCATCCCAGGGCCTTTTAATTATGCCCAAATGGCCCCCATTCTAACTCTGCTTTAACTACTTTCTCAGCCACGATTTTTGTTTTGTTTTTTGGTCCATTGAGGGCTTTCCCCTTTGAGTTCACATTTCAGATTTTCTAGGTGAGTCCATTGAGGAAGAAAAATGATTTATTATTTAGAAATTTTACCATAAGCTTTGCCATAGATATGTCACCAATGAGGAGTAGTCATACTTCAAGGTCTATTAGCTAACTAGTAAACCGTAAATGTCAAACATAAGTGATGATGATTATGCAGTTTATATGTGGTCACAAGTTTGATTTGGTATGTAACGACAAGTTGCAAGAGGAAAGCCTTAGTGTAAAGATGAGAGGCTATAAAAAGGGAACCCAAGTTCCCATCCTCTTGCTGCCCCTTCACAGCGATGCCATGACCTTGGCTAAGTCCCTTAACTTCACTGAATATGAATAATGATTCCCATTCTATGAGGTTTTGCTGAGAATGGGAACATATATGCAGCTACTATCAGCTCCTGGAACCCAGAACATGCCCAATAAATGGTAACTAATAATTTAGGGTTTTACCAGAAGGATTAAACTTAAGCACTAAGTGGTTAGGATTTGCAGATGATTTAAAAGCAGCATTGATATGTCCCCTGAGTGGAATTCTTATTAGCGTATTCATTTTCCACCTCCCTCCCCTCCCCCATTCATTGTAGACTACTTGCATGTCACTTTTTTTTTCCCCCATTATGTGTTTCCATAGTCTGTGATTGTGAAAAGTGTTGAGCGAAATGCCTTAAATATGTATGAAGCAAGGAAATGTCTCCTCGGACTTGAAAGCAGTGGGGTTACCATAGCAACCAGTCCATCCCCAGCATCCTGCCCTGCCGGCCTGGCATGTCCCAGCCTGGATATCTTAGCTTCAGCAGGCCTTGGACTCACTGGACTAGGTATACAATTTATTATTACAGCACGTCTCAGTCACTGGGGAAATGCTTATCTGGTTCCCTTTCTTTCTACCATTTGGGCCTACATTTAAAGGCTATTTTTTTTTTTTCCTTCGGACTCAAAGATCAGGTGAAAAGCCATACAGCCTGAATCAATCTATTTTGGGGTTTCTTAGTCTCTGTGGATTTATTACCCAGATTCTTCCCATGTTTGCATAAATAATCAAGGTCTGACTATTTTATTTTCAGTGGCTGTGATGGTTCTGAATTAAGAATGCCACTGAGATTGAAGTAAGCATGCTGACTGTAATTTATGTTTGTTCTCTCTTGCATTTGCAATATTGCCGTCAGTCCCTAGAGATAAAGATTATCCAGTTTGCTTTTTAAAAAGTAATTGCAAATCTGTATGAGGGGTGGGGAGAGGGGTGAAAATAAGCAGAACCTGTATCTCCAGTGGTTAGACCTGCCTTACCCAGACACAAAGGAAATCTAGTCTGAGGTCAGACCTGTATTTCTGTCTAACGTGAGGAATAGAAAATAGAAGAATGAACAAACATCATCATCTCAGAGCTTTAGTTAAGAAAGTACAATGAGCTGCTTAATAGTCATGGTGATATTTACGTCCTCATCTGTGGACTGCTATTTTATAGGCTGAAGTTAGTTGCTGTATTACAGTTTTGCTAGATTCCCTTCTTTCTTGCACATTTCTCAGTTGCATTTGTTTTCCTTAATCAGTACTCCTAGCAAATCACCCTGGGGCATTCAGTGTTGATTTGAGACAAAAAAGAATACTCTCAGTTGTCTTTAACATTTTTTTTTCTAATAGCTATTCTTGCTTTTAACTTTTAAGAAATTTAATACTCTTATATGATTGATTTTCCAAGTAGCCCTGCCTAGACATCATTAAAGAAAGATTTTTTTTTTTTTTTGGCCCCTAATCTACCAAAGTTGTTCCTTCCACTGGGACCTGAACAGACATAATAGCATAGCAATGACTGTGAGTCAGGAAATGCCAATTAGGTAACTTAGCAGGAACCGAGTTCATCTTGCACGAGAGAGAAAACAAGTGAGCAAAGATTCAGTAACCGAGTTTTTAAAATGTTTTCATTATTATACCTATCCTGTTATACTTTATGCTTTATATGTATTCCTGGAAACTTGTATACAAATCCACATATCATTCCAGAACATATTTTAAATGCCTAAAGGAAAATTTCATTATTTAAATCAAGCATTGACTCCTTACAACAACAAAAAAACCAGCATTTTTTTTCTGAGAAAATTTTCATCATTGAGATGGGGCCCAGAGAATTCATGTATATGTTTTGAGATACATTTAGGAACTGTTCTGATAGCCTACCCTATCTGTAACGGGGACAATAGGAAATCTATCCTACCACAGGAAAGCATTCCCTAGTTGCTGCTACATGTGAGTAGTTTGAAAAGGGTTTGTAAGCGGATGACAAATGAGTTATGCAGAAGAATGAAAATGAGCCTCCACTTGAGCAGAATTTTGTTCATCCTGGGTAGCTGACATGAATGCAAAGCACCTGGTAATGTTCAGTGACCCTAACTGCCATCCTGGTCTGGGCACACCTATCTTCCATTTTCTGATAGCAACTGTTTGTGGATAAGCTGCTTCCTCTCTTGGAGCTCTATGATGCAAAATTCATGTGAATATTTGAAAGAAAATCTGTCATCCATATTTTGTATTTAGAAAATATCAGATTATATCATTGTGCATTACTAATGGCAATATTCATGCCATATCTATTTTAAAATCTTAAATTTATGTGAATTGACTTTATATATTCATTTATTACAGGTCTTTTGGGACCCACCACCTTATCTCTGAACACTTCAACAACCCCAAACTCACTCTTGAATGCTCTTAATAGCTCAGTCAGTCCTTTGCAAAGTCCAAGTTCTGGTACACCTAGCCCCACATTATGGGCCCCCCCACTTGCTAATACTTCAAGTGCCACAGGTCAGTATCATTTAAGTATATTCCAAGGTGTGTATTCTTAGGTGTTACCAGTCTTTTAAATAAAATTTACTAATGACTCAGTTTTCTTAGGGCAAAATTAGAGTTCAAAGCACACTCCATTGAAACGGAAATTCCCTGGTACATCAATTAGTTAAAATGAAGCGCAGCAAAGCAGTTTGAGTTTTTCATACTAGTGAAATACCATCTTCAGGTGTGATAAGCAGACCTGGTAGTTAGGTTCTAGTTGGAGTAACTTGCTGGTAGTCATGTACATCTGTACAATGAGAGGGTTGGATAAGACATTCTCTATGGTGTTGTCCCATTTTAACACTCTTTTGTGTTTTTACAGTAAATAGTACCTCTGTTTACGGAGGTGTCAAAATTGAATTCTTTCCTGAACTTGCAGCAACAAAAAATGATGTTTTTATTGTTAATAAAAATAATAGTTGAATCTGAGTTTCTTCCTAATATCTGTCATCATAAAATGTTGTTGTAGGTTTTTCTGCTATACCACACCTTATGATTCCATCTACTGCCCAAGCCACATTAACTAATATTTTGTTGTCTGGAGTGCCCACTTATGGGCACACGGCTCCATCTCCCCCTCCTGGCTTGACTCCTGTTGATGTCCATATCAACAGTATGCAGACCGAAGGCAAAAAAATCTCTGCTGCTTTAAATGGACATGCACAGGTAATGACTTTCTGCTAGAATGTGTGTGTGATCTCTGCTGTTTGTAAGAGATAAACCCCTGGTAAAGTTAAAACATGTTTAAACTTTCGCCTAAAATGAGTTTTATTTATTGTTTGCAACTTTTATTTTAGGTTTAGGGGACACATATGCAGGTTTGTTACATGGGGAAATTGCATATTTAACCCACCTTGAGTTAGTTTTTATATATGGTGAAAGGGAGGGGCTGGTTTCATTCTTCTGTATATGGCTAGCCAGTTTTCCCAGCGCCAGTTATTGAACATGGATTCCTTTCCCTATTGCTTGTTATTGCCAACTTTATTGAAGATCAGATGGTTGTAGGTGTGCAACTTTATTTCTGGATTCTCCATTCTGTTCCCTTGGTCTATATGTCAATTTTTTTTTATGCCAGTACTATGCTGTTTGGTTTCTGTAGCCTCGTAGTATAGTTTGAAGTTGGGTAGTTTGATGCCTCTAGCTTTATTCTTTTTGCTTAAGATTGCTTTGGCTATTTGGGCTCTTCTTTGGTTCCATATGAGTTTTAGAATAGTTTTTTCTATTTCTGGGAAAAATGATGTTTGTAGTATGATAGGAATAGCATTGAATCTGTGTATTACTTTGGGCAATATGGCCAGTTTAATGATATTGAGTCTCCTGATCCCTGAGAATGGGATGTTTTCCATTTGTTTTTATCACCTATGATTTCTTTCAGCAGTGTTTTGTAGTTCTCCTTGTAGATAGCTTTCATCTCCTTGGTTAGAAGTATTTCAGAGTGGTTTTCTTTTTTGTGGCTGTTATAAATGGGATTGTGTTCTTGATTAGACTCTCTGTAAAACTGTGACCATATTTATATGTTATTTTCTATTATTATTTAGTCTCCAAATATAAAATATGGTGCAATATCCACTTCATCACTTGGAGAAAAAGTGCTGAGTGCAAATCACAGTGATCCATCCATCCAGACAAGTGGGTCTGAGCAGACATCTCCCAAATCAAGCCCCACTGAAGGTCGGGAACTGTATCCTTCTGAAATTCATTTTGGTTTGTTATTTGGAAAAAGGAGGTTGTAGAGAGTCTATGCAGTGATTTTGAGTTGGTTTTGCTAAACAGCTATGATTCATCCTACCTCAATTATGTGGAAAGACAACATCCTGAATAAAATTTCAAAGAGAATGGTGAAAGATTAACTGAAAAGCACTTTCCACAGAAAGAATCATTTCCCCATTACATTGTAAGTTCCTGAATTAAAGTGAAGGTAATTGTGTAGCAGAAAAGCATCAACTTACTAAATGTGAGATATATATCTATATATAGAGAGAGATATTTCCCCCAAGTAGAGTATCTTTTTATAACCTTTTTTACCCTTTCCCCCAAATCTTTAAAATATATAAATACATGCAGGTCTTCTCTTCAAATTGAGTTTTGTGACACCCTGAACTTGTTAAGGTGTTCTCTTTGCAGATGAAAGAGGTCTCTGTCAGGTTAATCATGTCTCCAGAGTAGGGTTCTGATTTGTTTCCATTGCAGGTCATTGTCAGTTGGAAGGTGATGTTGTTTAGGTATTTCACTTTTTTTTCTTCTCCTCTGCAGGTTGTAATGATGCTTTTGTTGAAGTAGGCATGCCTCGAAGTCCTTCCCATTCTGGGAATGCTGGTGACTTGAAACAGATGATGTGTTCCTCCAAGGTTTCCTGTGCCAAAAGGCAGACAGTAGAACTATTGCACGGCACGAAAAACTCACACTTACAGTATGTATTTTAATCTTAAAAGAGTCCTTGATTTTTTGAAATGACGTATATTTGTTCTCAACTCTATAGTTAGTACTCTTGGATTCAAGTCATGTTTGATCTCATCCATGGGTGTTTTCATTTTATCTTTTAAAAAAATATTAAGGAATAATATCTGATAATTTTCACCCTTCTCTTTCTTCTCTGTAGTCCCTTCCCCATTTAATGAATTGATTTATATCTGTGTCCTCTAAACCATCTGTATTACTCTGAAACTGTAGCATTCTCTCTGCTCTTCAGTAATCAGCAGAGCCATTTTTATTCTCTGATTTTTGCTGTTAGAAATTTTCCCACTGTGAATCCTCCCTCATTTGGCTTTGAATTTCTTCCTTACATGGCTCTTTTTTCCCAAGGTAGTTAATTGCAAATTTTTAAATAAATGCTTGACATTATCATGACTTTGTTTATTCCAAGTCACTTTGGTTATAAATACATAAGTTGTATTAAATATTAAATATAATTCTTCCTTACCATAGCACAGTTAAAGTGTGTCATCCTTACTCTTTCTTTTTTTTTTTCCTCCATGTATTTTGGGCAGTTTCTACAGTGTAAGGTTTTGTTCCCACCTATTCCGTCCACCTGATTTCCTCTGCTGTCTTATTAGTTCCTGGTATACCGTTCTAGAGTGTCTTTCTGCAAAGATTAGCATACATAGTTTTATTTCTTCCCATTCTTACTAAAATCCATTTTCCTTTATAAACTCTTTGGTCAATCATTATTACCCACTGTTGTCCAGTTCTCCTTTATCTGTGTTTTTCTTTACATGGTGCTGATACCCCAAATTAATGTTATTATAGACTAGAGAAACAGTTTTACTTCCTTGAAACTATTGAAGTGTTTAAAATAGATACCCATTCTTGTCATCACTGAGTGTGTTCTGAACCTTCTCATCATCCTCTTCGGGGTTAAACTGAAGCCTCCAGAAAGATCTCCCTGCCTCCAGTCTTTTATTAGCTTGAGCTATCCTTTATTTTGCTCCAGCCATTTATTTTCAAAAACAGGTCTAATCTTGTCACACTCTGGCTTCAAATCCACCAGTGGTCTGTGTTGCATGCTTCCTTTCTTTTACTTATGCTCTTCCCTCTGATTTGCTGTTCTCCTGGCCTTTGTCACCAGATAACTTGCAGATGCTCTTAAGTTCCCAGTTCAAATGTCCTTTGTGTAGCCTCTGTCAACTTTTGTCAAGCAAAGTTCACCGTCCCTCTTTTTGTATTCCAAAAGTACTTTTCTAAATTCCTCTAAATTCCCTTGGCACAGCAGCTGAATAGTTGAACAAATAAAATCATGAATGAATAAACAAACCAGTTCTTGATTGATATTGCAATCCCTGTTTTATTTGAGCTTAAGGTGCAGTTAGATTTGAACCTGAGGTGTATGCATTCTGTACATATCATGTGTTGTTGTTATTCACGTATTTGCTGCTCATTGTAAGAAGCACTTTTATGTTCTGCCTGTCCCCCTCAACAGATTTGAAGAATATTTATTTATCTGCTACATTTATTTGTTACCAATATCATATACATATTTCATACACATGAACTGGATCATCTGCATGCCTTCAAATTGACTGGATCTCTGTTTAGACTTTGCATGCATGAATCATTGATATCTCCTTGATGTATAAAAATTAGAAATCTCGTCTGTACATCTATTCCCTCTATGTCATATGCAGTATACCACATATACTGTATATATTGTGTTTGAATGTGCATCAAGAAATAGTTTCAAGCTTTACCCCTACAGTCAAAGTGCCCAATTTCAAATTCCATCTCTACCGGTCACATTAGAGGTATGATCTTGGACAATGTACTTCCCTCATCCGCTAGTGGGGATAACAATAGTACCTGTGTCATAGCATTGTTGTGAGGATTAAATGAGAGAATACATGTTAATAGCTGATGGTGATAAACATGCATAGTAAATGTGGCACATAGGAAACATTCAGTACATTTGTATATATAGTGAAGTGTTAAATTCTACACTCTTATTTCACAGCAGCACTGACAGGTTGCTCTCAGACCCTGAACTGAGTGCTACCGAAAGCCCTTTGGCTGACAAGAAAGCTCCAGGGAGTGAGCGCGCTGCAGAGAGGGCAGCAGCTGCCCAGCAAAACTCCGAAAGGGCCCACCTTGCCCCACGGTCATCATACGTCAACATGCAGGTAATGGTAATACAATAGGAAAGCCATTCAAATGTCATATGTTTGGGTTCTGGTGTAGAGAATTCAGTGAGTGTTCAGCAGTAGTGCAGAAATTAGGTTTTCCCTCTGTGCTACATTCAAAATGAAATTTAAATATATAGGTAGCGGTTAGTTTGCTATAAACATTAAAAATGAAAAGCAGTATTTAGCCTAAGTGAGAATTCTTTAAAATATATTTAAAATGGTGCAGAATGATCTGTGTCACTATCTTATGCAAATAACATTATTCATGTGTTACTTAAAAAAATTTTAAATGAGTTTGCAGGACTGCATTTCTAAGTATTATTGCTTCATGACATAGTCTTGGATAAATAGATATACTATTTTCTATGTAATGAAGATGATAAATGTGTTTGGTGCCATTTAAAGATAGTTATGAGAATAACTAATGTGGAGTGTTCTTTGAAAGTAGATGATGAATATTATTGATGATTGTGTTGGTTCACAGATGTTTTATGATTAAAAGACAACTTCCTTTAAATAATTTTTGTGATTAAACAACTTCCTCAGTAGGAACTTTCCATGTATCCATTTTCAAACTATCAAATCCCCTTTATAATCTTTTAATGGTTTTTGTCTTGTGGTTCTTGTCACCTTTTCCATCAAATCTATACCTGCAGTGAACCAGTTTCTTGTTTCTTTCTTTTAGGATGGATGAGCATGTTCTTAATGTTTGAGTTTTAGCCTAATTAGATGTATTTATGTCATTAGTGAACAGTTAACTCTTAAAATCACTAAGAAATCAATGATAATATTCACTGAGCATTGAGAGAGAGAAAGATTAAAAATTTCTCTGATTTCCTTGGCTGAAAATGATCTCTATCTCCTGATTGCTCTTGGAGTGCTATATCCCCAGCTCTCTTTTTATACTTATCTCAGTTTCTAATTTATTTTATAGTTATTTCTCTTTCCCAACCCTCCTAAGACTCCAATCAGCCAGGCACGGTGGCTCACACCTGTAATACCAGAATTTTGGGAAGCCAAAGTGGGCAGATACCTGAGTTTGGAAGTTCAAGACCATCGACCATCCTGGCCAACATGGCAAAACCCTGTCACTACTAAAAATACAAAAATTAGCCAGGCATGGTGGTGGGTGCCTGTAGTCCTAGCTACTTGGGAGGCCAAGATAGAAGAATAGCTTGAACCCGAGAGGTGGAGGTTGCAGTGACCTGAGATTGCACCACTGCACGCCAGCCTGGGCAACAGAGCAAGACTCTATCTGAAAAAAAACAAAACAAAATAACTGCAAGTCCTCGAAGCTGTTTTGATTCATTGTTGTATTCTTCCACAAAGCTGAGCATAGTTTCGTTAACCAGTAGGCCCTCAATGTATATTTGTTGAACGAGTAAATTTAGACTCTCTGTATACCTTGCCTTTAGGCATTAATAATTAAAACTTGATTTTAACTCCCAATACCATTTTTGTCTTAGTATGTAAAAACTTCATCAAAAATATTATCTAAAAATCTGGCTTTCCTGATACATGGCTGTGTTTTTAGTTATCACATGTCCTTGTTTGTCTGGGACAGCCCCTGTTTACTTTTATTATCCTGGCCTAATTGTTATTCACGGTACATTTCACCTTCAGAAATGTCCTGTTTCAGACATAGATTATATAGGTACCTTATACATGATGATATGATCTTTCTGGTTAAAGAGCTCTTGCCAGTTGGTCCTTGGTCCTTCTGTTAGGCCTTTGAGACATGCTTACATCAAGTCTTAGCTAGTTCCTAAATTGGAGAGTTGATAACTCTCAGAAAAGATTTGAAATGTAGCTGTATCTGCACTACTTTCTTCAAAATGATCTATCTTGGTCCTCACATAGACTTGACTACATCATAGTTATTCATTCAGTTTTAATGGAATGAATCAATGGTGCTATCCTAGCCCTGTGCAATAAACGGTAACTAGGTTTAATTTTATGGCATTGCTTAATGTCATTATAAATTAAAGTTAGACATCTGCCATTTATCTCACTTCAAAAGCAAAGACTATGCCAGTTAGGTTAAATAATTTCTTAAGGTATCCTGACATCATACCATTTCAGGCCATGCTTACCTAAATGAAGAGGGGATTTGTGGGACCCTAAGGGGGCCAAAAGATACAGAACAGCATTTTGGAAATGTATTCTTTCAAAACTTGCATTATTATTATTAGTAGTAGTAGTAGTATACTCTAGCAGACATTGGCTCTGGAGTGCTAGGTATTTGTGGTAAATTCGATTTTTTTTTCTTTTTTTAAGGAAAAATTCTAACTCTTAAAGTCAGAAGTGGTAATTTATTATTACTCGTTAATTAGTGTTGGAAGCATGTTTAAACTTACAGACTTACCTTGGATTTCTGTGACATTATTGTGCAAAGCTTGGTGTATGCCTCAGGCAGATTCTTGGAACATAGTCAAAACCTTTGTTCTCTAACCATGGCATGACATTTGGAGAGACTGTCAATAAAGGCATTTTCTGTTTCATTTTCAGGCATTTGACTATGAACAGAAGAAGCTATTAGCCACCAAAGGTATATGATGCACTAATAACACTTGACTGTTTTTTAGTACACTCATAAATGTTTTTTGAGTACTCATGGTGAATTGAGAACTTGAAAACTCATAAAAAGAAACCTAGAATATTTGGGTTCAAGTTGCATAAATTCTGCTGAATACATTTTGTTGAATGGTGTGTTGAGAAATAACATTCAGTGATAATTTCTTCACAAATATCAAAGAAATGACACTTATCATCAGTATTTTATTTAAGAAATGCGCTAAACATACCAAGCATTGGTTTTATTTTGTTTCCAAAGCTATGTTAAAGAAACCAGTGGTGACGGAGGTCAGAACGCCCACAAATACCTGGAGTGGTCTGGGTTTTTCTAAATCCATGCCAGCTGAAACTATCAAGGAGTTGAGAAGGGCCAATCATGTGTCCTATAAGCCCACAATGACAACCACTTACGAGGTTTGTAGAGTCATGTCCTACTCATTCTTCCTGTCTGTTCTCTCATCAAAACAGGACAGTCCTTCTCCACACTCATTCTTTATGTACCTAAAGGAAAATGATTAGTGGTGACTTGTTTTTATTTCTATTCCTGTAAAGATACTGTTATAAAACTGATACACTCTTGTGTATTATGATCTTTTATCTGTATTTTCTCAAAATTGTTGATCAGCTCTTAAAGAGATGTAAATTTAGATGTGTGTTTTTGTTGAGGGTGGGATGTGTCATAAATGATAAGCATAGTGCTGAGATTAAGCAAAAGGCAGATGTAACATTCCATAAAAATGTATAAAGAGTCCTTTTATCCAAGGGTTTCACTAGCAAGGTCACTATAGGGGGAAAAGGCAAATTTTCAACAAAAATAGGTTTTCAGATATGAGTTAAAAATTCAGTGTGCTCAGATGTGCCAAGAACACAGCAAGAAGTATCTCAAACAAGTGCTCCAGAATTTGTATGTTTCCCAGATGTTGGCTGCCCTGCTCGGGGTGAGACTGGGAAGCTGGCATTCCTACCATATGGAAGGGATGGAGAGTTCCATACTCCACAGCCAGGCTACACGTGATTCACCAAGCAGGCCTTTTCCATTTCAAAGTATCAGATTTTGGCTCTAAGTCTTTGGGAGTAGGGGTGGGGCTCAAAAGAGTGTGCACATGTGCACGATGCTGGGAGACTATACAAACCCAAACATGGATGAAAATGATTAATCCAAGAGTCACAGTGTTCAACCAGAGAGACCACTGTAGGCCAAAAAAACAAATACTGGTTAAGGGTTTCATAATTGTTAGTCTAATAACTAGCGTTTGTAGGCTGACCTTTTCTCCACCCATTTTCTTTGTAATAAATTAGGCTCTTGATGAAACACAAAAGCAAACATGCTGCTTTTTTTTCTTTGTCTCTTTTGAGTAAGTCAAAAAGAAAATACTATTGAAATACTAAAAGAAAGAGTCTCCTGTGAATGTCGTTGTCAGAGTTATAGTAGTAGCCTGGTAGACTGTATTTTAAAGATTGAAGTTACCTTCAGCAGCAGAATGTAGGAACCATTATGAAAAATGTTGAGGCTCTAGGAGGTACACTCTTCTTTCTTCCATTATAACACAGAGAGAAAATAAACATCTCCTTTTGTTAGCAGGGACCATAAAACTGCTGTGCTCATTCTTAGAGTTTCACCTGATGCACGGTATGGCTGTTCCTTTCAGGCCATCCTTGCTTTTGACAGAGTAAAGTGTGCTAGGTTGACTGTGTTCTGATAGTTTCATAGATGAAGTATTTACCTTAGAAATGCTCATTCAGTTGTGCTTTCTAAGACCAACAGTAGGACAAGTTGAAAATGATGTTCGTTTCAGTAATGGAGTGGTCAAGTGCAGGGTTCTGATAACCACCACTGACCAGATGTATAGCTTTGGCGAGTGACTTCACTCATCTGAACCGTGTCTCATTCAGGTTCTGCTGAGAAGGGCATTGGACAAGGCATCCAGTGCTTAGCATGGTGTGTTGTCAGTTCTTAGTGATATTATTATTATTATTATTATTATTTTTGACATGGAGTCTCGTTCAGCCACCCTAAGCTGGAGTGCAGTGGCACGATCTCGCTTACAGCAATCACCATCTCCCAGGTTCAGGCAATTCTCCCATCTCAGCTTCCCGAGTAGCTGGGATTACAGGCACCCACCATCATGCCTGGCTAATTTTTGTATTTGAGTAGAGATAGAGTTTCACCATGTTGGCCAGGCTGATCTTGAACTCCTGACCTCAGGTGATCCGCCCATCTCGACCTCCCAAAGTGCTAGGATTACAGGCGTGAGGCACTGCGCCCGGCCTAGTGATAATTTTAAAAATTTTACTTTATTATTATTATTATGAGTCTCACTCTGTCACACAGGCTGGAGTGCAGTGGCGTGATCTTGCCTCACTGCAACCTGTGCCTCCTGGGTTCAAGTAGATGGGATTACAGGCACGCACCACAACGCCCAGCTAAGTTTTATATATTTTTTTTCTTTTTTAGTATACACAGGGTTTCATCATGTTGGCCAGGCTAGTCTCAAACTCCTGACCTCAAGTGATCTGCCCACCTCGGCCTTCCATAGTGCTGGGATTACATGTATGAGGTTCTTTAAAATTTTTAAAAATTTTTTCATTTTTAAATTTTAATCTATTATTCATTTTAAGACCAGGATATGAGACTGGCTAATCTTTGTATTTTTGGTGGAGTCTAGGTTTCACCATGTTGCCAAGGCTGGTCTCAAACTCCTGGGCTCAAGCAGTCCACCTGCCTCGGCCTCCCAAAGTGCTAGAATTACAGGAGTGAGCTACCACGCCTGGCCAGTTCTTACTGATATTGAGTGGCTCTTACTGTTTCCAGTGGAGGACTTACTTTATCCTGAAGAAAACCAAGGGCTTGCTGAAAGATGAAATTATGTTTATGAATGCTCATTGGTGGAAGTATTTCTGCACACTCAACTTAGTTATGCTTGTTTATATTCAAAGGAATATCTTAGGGTATTATATGAACACATAAGAATTTAAGATAATAGTAGTAATTATCTTAAATCACATTCATTTCGTTCATCCACAATTTTATTCAATCCCCACAAACTCCTAGTAAGGAAAGGGGCCCAGAATGGCTAAGTGTCTTACTTAAGGTTACTTACACTCCTCTTCCTAATGATTTAACCCAAGGGAGTCCATGGCAAAGGGTGGTGATCTAGAGCCATGTTGCCGTAGTTTTATGAACGTAAGAATCACTCAGAGAGCATAATAATCCAGAATCTTCTGCTAGGATCTCACTCAAAAGGTAGGGAGTGAGAAGCAGGTATCTATCTGCGTTTTCAGCAAGAACCTAGTATAATTGTGATGCGCGTGTCCCACAGGAAACACTGCTGTAAAGGGATGTAACCCTATAGGGATAAGGGCAGCAATAGGCAGAGGAGCCCCAAAAGCTCTTCTGCTCCAGCACTTGCCCAAGGACAGGTAGATCACAGATCACTTTCTCTGGGCAGAAATGTGCAGGGCCTCTGACACTATGGTTGAACTTCTTCCTATGGCTTTTCTTGCTTTGGCTCTCTTGGGCTAGCCTGCCCCATCATCCTGTTCACATTGAAATTTGGGAGGGAGAGTGGGTGAGACTTGCTGGATTCCAGCATGGACATTAACCATGTAATATGGTTTTCTTCACTGCCTCTTTAAGTGCTACTAATGGAAATATATGATCAGGTTTTTTTTTTTTTCTTTTTTCTGAATGGTGTTCTAGATTCTCCCTGGTATATAAGTTAGACTTGAGCTTTTCCTCATGTATCCCAAATTCTCTGAAATGTAAGAAAGGGCCCCTCACATAGCATGGTCTGATTTTCTGCAGCAGTGGCTGTGTGTGTCTTTTCCTTTATTCTTCCATGGCTCAGAAGGATCAGAAATAGGGCATCCGGCGAGTGTTGCCTCTATAGATTAGGAAGAGGGGAAGGGCCTGGGGAAAAGTAGAGAGGGAGATTTTTATTAAAATAGAGACCACATCTATGCTTATGGCACTAATATTTTTAAGTTGGAGAGTAGCTAAAAACACCTTCCTTTTTCTTACTTTTTCCTTTTTCAAAAGAAAAATAAAGCCAAATGAACAAGGAGAATGCCGATCTATAAAAAGAGCAAGCATGTTTGACCAATAGGTCCTGATGGGTGAGGGCTGCTCACTCGGTGTGCCACGGACCAAATGTTTCCTGCTGTAGCAACTTCGCTTGAGGCAAGAATCTGATACTTCAAACTCTGTATTCAATATTATTGAGAAGCTCAACTTGAACAATTTTTTCCAGTTTTAGGGCAGCTTTGAGAAATTAATCTATTTCAAAGAGATCCCTTAGATAAGAAGCAGGCACTTGCAAGCTTTTTTTGTTTTCTCCAAGATTCTAAAATATGACCCTGTCCCCTTATATTATATTGGGATACCAAAAGTCAAACAAAAGGCTGCTTTGACCTGCAGTAACTGTGTCACATCAATACAGCTACAAAGAGGTTTGGGATTTTCTTTACCTTTTTGCCATCCATCTCTTAAAAGCATGAGTAATGGTCACATATTCTTGGAGCAAATAAAAACCTGCATTGAGAATCAAAGATGGTTTTCAACTTCTCTAGCACTGATAGTAACGAGGTTGTCCAATTATTTTAAATCTTACAAATCTAGGAGTAGAAATATTAAAGATATTTTATCAAAGATGTACAAATAATGAAGCTACTTTCATTGGAAATGCCAGTTTTGGGTATCAGAAAGCTTCATTTCCCTATACCCATTCCCAGAAGTTAGCAAAGGTATCCCATAGTTGTAGGAAAAGGAGTCTTTGAGATTAATTCAATAATTCCACAAATACTAAGCACCTAATGTGTTCCAGACACAATTTTATACACTAGTAATACTGCGCTTGAATACAAGGTTCTTGCTTTCGCAGATGGAGCTTTCTGGTGGGTAGAAGGAAACACAAACTAGAAGGCAGTAGGTAACAAGAGTCTCTGTTACGTACGAAACAGAACCGCTTAGGACTGGGTAATCATGAAGCAGACCTTATGAGCAAATTGAGCAAATGACATTCAAGCTAAAACCTAGATGCCAAGAAAAGGCCATGAAGATATGGGGAAAGAGTAGTAGGCCAAGAGAACAGCTGGCACGATCTCCCAGAGTTGGAACCAGCCAGTGAGTTCCTGAAGCTGAGGTGGGTAGGGTGGGGGAGCGTCAGCATCAGAGAAGAGATTGCAGAGAGGCAGAGGCTGGGTTATGGAGCCTGTCAGTTTACGGTAAGGCGCAGTGGAAATACGTCACGGGACTTTACACAGAGGCATATTTGTTTTCATTTGCATTTTAAGAAATCGGTCTTGTTGCTTTATGGAAAATGGATTATAGGGGGATAAGGAGCAAGAGTAGAATTAAAATGGCCCTTAAGGAGGCAGTTGGGACATTGTGGAGGTGTATAGAAGTGGGCAGACTTGGGCTGTGTTTAGAGATGACACTGATAAACTTGCTGAGGGATTGACTGTGTTGAGGAAAGGAGGAACCAAGGATGACTTTTGGCTGGAGCAGCTGGGTAAGTAGTAGAGTCACTAGTTGGGATATAGGAATTCTGAAAGAATAAGTTTGAGGGTAGCTGATGGGGATGGGTAACAACAACTTGGTTTCGAGCACACTGAATTTAAGATGCCTGTCAGGCAGGAAAATGGCAGTGTCAGACTGGCACCTCTACGATTCTAAATTTCTTTCTTTTTTCTTTTTTTTTTTGAGACAGAGTCTTACTCTGTTGCCCAGGCAACAGAGTGCAGTGGCACGATCTCAGCTCTTGCAACCTCCGCTTCCTGGGTTCAAGCAATTCTCCTGCCTCAGCCTCCTAAGTAGCTGGGATTACAGGCATGCACCACCACACCTAGCTAATTTTTGTATTTTTAGTAGAGATGGGGTTTCACCATGTTGGCCAGGCTGGTCTTGAACTCCTGACCTCAGGTGATTCACCCACCTTGGCCTCCCACAGTGCGGGATTACAGGTGTGAGCTACCGCACCTGGCCTATGATTCTAAATTTCAACAGAGAAGTCAAATCTGGAGTTAGAAATTTAGGAGTCACTATTGTCATTACTTTTTGAAAAGACTTGAGATTACTTAACAAGAAAGTAGACAGAGGGAAGGGAAGAGATCCTAGGACCAGGTACAGGGTAATCTGACATTTTAGAATGTGAAATAGGAAGATCCTCCAAAGGACACACAGTGAGGTAGGTGGAAAACCTGGGGCCTGGGGTGTCAGGATGCCCTAAAGAAAGAAATTTTTAAAGGAGGGCGTAGTGAGCTGTCTTTTTGCCATTGCAAGATTGAATTAAGTAAGTTTGTTGAGTGAACAGTAAAGGATTCTCTTGGAATTACCTAATGAACATAATACTTTGAAAATCAGAGAATCTTGACTTTAATACTCTAGGTAATACCAAGTAGGGTGTCTATAATATAGTGATAAAATAAATAAAAGGATGAATAAATGCGAGTTCAGTGCAAATTTTAAATTATTTTTGTTTTTATTGTGGAGAATTTAAAAAGATAAATTATTCCAGGTATCTAATTTGTTAGAGAGATTGTATCCTTGTTTGTTTAGGGGAGGGTAACACAGGGGAAAGGACAGCTCCCCTTCCAACCTCAGGCTCTGTTAGCATTTTGAGAAGCCAGCTTTGCCACATCACCATTTCTCTTACTTGTGTGATACAAGGCAGAGAATTTTTGCTCTACCAGGTGGAAGATTTGCTTTGTGGTCTCCAAAATTGGAAGGAGTCTCAGCATCCACTCTTCCACATTTTATAGAAGGGATCATTTATACTGAGGTCTCTCAGGACTCTCCCTCAGAATCTGCTCCCCATAATGGAGGAGAAAGACTTCACTGTGTAAATTGCCAAGTGTCCTTGGTGCTGCAGGGCAAAGGCTGTAGGCAGGTTTCACAGCCTTCGTTCCTGAGAGTCAACACGAGTGCAGTGGTTGGCAAGAGAAGTAAATGGCAGTGGTGTCATGTGGATTCTTTCCTCCTCCCACCCTGAGAAACCCACCTGATTAAACATTTCCTTATCTGGCTTTGTCTGTTTACAGAGCTCATCGATGTCCCTTTCACGGTCCAACAGTCGCGAGCACTTGGGAAGTGGAAGTGAATCTGATAACTGGAGAGACCGAAATGGAATCGGACCTGGAAGTCATAGTGAATTTGCAGCTTCTATTGGCAGCCCTAAGCGTAAACAAAACAAATCAAGTGAGCTTTGTGTTTTATGTACACTTTTAGGTATCCCCAGATTAGAATGTTTATTTGGGTCGGAGTATCACTGTGGCCTCTCTGACTTCAAGTGCTTGGTGTAATTCACATGGCATCTCCTCTGTGAAGCCATCCTCGTTTCTCCCAGTGAAGCAGGAGAGGTTCTCTCCCCTCACTCCATTTTGTGCATGCTTTCACTCTAGCACTTGCCATACCTAAGGGTAATTACTTATCTACCTATGTGTATCTCCCTGTGAAATTTGTGCTCCACAAACCAGAGACTGTATTTGTTCATTTTATAAACACTTATGAAGTGTCCACATGTCAGGTATTCTGTTATGCTCTGCCTTGTTGAATATTTCTTCCCAAATGCCTACTGGACTGACACCTAGTAGGTAGGTGCTCAGTAAAAGTTTATGAAAAGAATGCATCAATGGGTAAGGTACACACATGCATCCAGGTGGTGACAGAAAGACAAGGACATAAGAAAGTGGTTGAGGCCAGGCACGGCAGCTCTTGCCTGTAATCCCAGCACTTTGGGAGGCGAAGGTGAGATGATAGCTTGAGCTCAGGGGTTTGAGAACAGTCTGGGCAACACAGTGAGATTTCATCTCTACTGAAAAAAAAAAAGCTGGGTGCGGTGGTATGCTTATACTTGTAGTCTTAGCTACGTGGGAAACTGAGGTGGAAGGATCACTTGAGCCCAGGAGTTTGAGGCTGCAGTGACCTGTAATTGAGCCACTGCACTACAGCCTGGGTGACAGAGCAAGACCCTGTCTCAAAAAAAAAAAAAAAAAAAAAAAAGATTGAGAGAAATGTGATTGAATTAGCATCTTAGACCACTGAAGAAAGACTGTCCAGCAGGTGGCTACTAAAGATGAACAGCAAGGTTTGATTTTGTAAATGGACAAGATGTTGCTGAATTAGCATAAACAGGAAAAAAATTAACTTACAGCATGGGGGTTCTGACTTTTAGCAAATCTGGCTGAGACTCAGCATGAGCCCATTGTTTTATCTACAACAGCACCCATACTTCTGGACTATATAAACAGATGAAAGCTGATATTGTCATCACAAGATATGCCCCAGTGCCTTTTTTCAGGGTTTTTGACACATTTGGAATCCTGAAACATGCAGAATATTTGAAGACACTTTGAAGCAAGGCAATCTAGATGAGCATGGTAGACACTCAGTAACAGTCAGTTGTTAACGTTACTATCAGTCATGTCAGCTGTGTTGTCAGGAGTCTCAGATTTGAAAGGAGTAATCAGGTTGTTGGCCTAGTCTAAATAAGAAAGCACGGTCAACTATTTCATTCCTAAATGCACTGTCAGTAGTAGCCTGGAGACTCCCCATTAGTTACTGGCTGGATACCCCACCACTGACAGTATGATCGAGCTGAGAGTCAGGCTGGTGCCAGGCACAGATGGAGGGGTGTAAATGATGTCCAGTCTCTAGCCCAAGATACGTTCATTTGGTGCTTCTCTTTTTCTATCTTTATCTCTTTTCCCTTCATTTAACATTGGATAATTAAATTGACTGTACTACTCAGTTGAATTGAAGTTCAGGATTAAGATGGAGGATACATTAATAAAAAGGAAAGATTAATGAAGCACAGTTACTTGGGTTTTGTCACCTTTTTTAGGGTATAGGGAGTTTAGGAGAGACTCTAGAAACTACAAGTAGTTAAGACCCAAAAAAAAAAAAAATTAAGTAAAAGTAAGTTACAGGCTATTTTGAACATTTATCACTATGAACATTTTATTTTCAAACATTTGTTTTTAAACATTTTAATTATATATTTTATTTAACCCAACATATGTAAGATTCCTTTTAAATATGTAATCAATATAAAAATTATTTGAAATAGCTTATATTCTTCCTTAGGATGTAGAAAATCTTTAAAATCTGCAGTGTATTGTGTACTGACAGAGCATTTTCATTCCCACTACCTATTGCAGGTGCTCAGTAGCCATGTGTGGCCAATGGCTACTGTATTGAACAGCACAGTTTTAGATAATTTCTCTTAACACCCTTGTCAAGATCACCAATGCTTCTGTTTTCCCTGGGCGTCCCTATTTATACCATTTGCTGCAGCATAATTCTCAGTAACTCTTTTACTCTCAAAAAAAAAAAAAAAAAGTAAATGTATCATTTGGACCATAAATTATATGGGCAGCCTTTTAGCCACTTTCATGTTGTCATGTCCCACATCCTGTGGTCACTTACCCCAATTTCCTTATCGCAGTCCACTTTGTGGCTTTTTGTCACCTTTGACCCAGTACCTCTATAGTCACTCCTCCTCAAACTGTTTTTATGACTTTGGGGCCTCTGCTTCACCTTTAAATGGTAGAATGTCCCAGGACTCAGTATCTTGAAGTTTGGTTTTGGGTCCTTTCTCTACACATTCACTCCAAGAGATAAACAGCTATCTTTAAGAGAAAAAGAAACCTTATCAGGAAATGCCTTCCACTTGAGAATCATGAAGGACATCTCAACTGGGAGATGAAAACAACTGGAGAAAGTGATCAATGACACCCAAAACCATGCAGAACAAGATTCCTAGACTTGGCAGATGCATGGATCCCCAGAGTAGACTAGACGGATCTGATTGGCTTTGGTCAGTGTCGTCCTCCCTCACCTCTTTGGGGTCCTCTCCTGAAGCCACATCCTTGGTGTAAGAAGACAGATTTCCCACACAGGCAAGAGCTCATTATTGGTCTGGGAGGTAGAATGCCTGTGCTCTGCTAAAATTTCCAAGGCTGTGTGTGTGTGTGTGTGTGTGTGTGTACGCACGTGCACGTGCGTGTGTGACTTACTTGGCTTGGTTCAGTAGTCCATCACCGGCGCTTGCTTGTCACTGGGTCTGAGAGCCACAGACAGTTTGTTGAAACCTTTGCCCACCAAGTCAGTTGCACAACCAAGGCAAAGTTCAGCATTGCTGTCTTAAAAGTTTTCCCCAGAGACAGATTTATTTTTGTCCTAAATTAAATCCAGGAACCCCAGCATCATTCCTATCACTTCATACATTACTCTTAATTTTGGAAGTATGCTGTTTTGTGACCTTGCTACCCAATTATATTTTTCTAGGGAGCAGCATTTATGTGTTGCAATGTCATACAATTCCTTTGACCAAAGGAAAGCACAGGTGTAGATACAGAGAGCCATCCTGCCATCCAACAGAACCTGGACTTGCAATAACTTTCCATGCCTTTATTTTGTCCCAGGGATCCTTTTTCCAGCTCCTCATTTAATTCACATCAAATCAATTATAAACAACAAATGCTTCTGACTACTCAGGGAGAATATGATGAATGATTATTAACTACAGAGGCACTGTTGCTGAATTTCTGCCTCCCAAGTGTAACCTTTTAAATGGCAAGAGCCTCCCTGAAAGCAATAACCAGCATTTCCTTAATGAAAAGCCAATATTTCAGTAAAGGATTGCTGTATTTCTACAGCTACTGCTCTATTCAGCTGAACAATGAAAGTTGAAATATTTAGGTGATTAAAACTTTTAATTAAACCATGTTCTCTCTGGGCATTTACACTTCAAGCCTGTCTCTCCTTTGCCTTTCAGCGGAACACTATCTCAGCAGTAGCAATTACATGGACTGCATTTCCTCGCTGACAGGAAGCAATGGCTGTAACCTAAATAGCTCTTTCAAAGGCTCTGACCTCCCTGAGCTCTTCAGCAAACTGGGCCTGGGCAAATACACAGATGTCTTCCAGCAACAAGAGGTCAGTCATTATTTATTTTCCCAAGTATCTTTGTTTTGATTGTGTGTATGATGACTTCTAGAATGAAATCACTTATTGACCTATGAGTATGCTTTCACTGAGCATTTATTCAAGTCTCATAGCTTGTTCTTGTTACTAAGAAAAATGTCATCTCATTTCTTATTTAGTGCAGCTAGTAAACACAGGATAGCAGAAATAGAGAAAATCATACTTGCAGAAAAATGTACAATAGCTGTCTAACAGTTTTAGCAATAAAACCCAATTGATGTATAGATTCATAGGAATTTTTGTAGTCACAGCTCCCTTAAGGTCAGCAACAAGTCTGTATTTAACATGATTTCATTTTGAATCTGTTGTTATCTTTATTTGTGGCACTTATAAGTAAATAACAGCATCTGAAATATCTCTGGCTGTTTTTGACTCATCCTGGTCATACTGAGGTCTGTTCTCACAGAATATATGTTTTTTTCAACATGTTAATTTATTCATTAACTTACTGTTTGGGTTTTACCTGAACTGAGACAGAACTGAGATGTCTACTGAACAATCACGACCATGGATTTTGATCAAACTGATTAGCCATATTCTATTATGTTCTGGCATAAAGAAAAGAGGCCCCAGGCATGATTCTTCCTAACAGTGCTCTCAGACTACTGGGGCACAGCTAACTCAAAGTGTCAGAAAATTAAAATGGTTCTATACATTTGTGTCTTTTTCAAATCAAGACATGGTCCATGTTCGATGCTAGTTGGCTTAATTTTATGTTAGAGAACATCTGATTTAGTAATTTCTAGGCATGTGTCAGTTAATAAAGAATCTATGGTTTTTACTAGGCACTTTGTATCATAAATTCAATGTGCTTGCCATGGTCCAATAAATTATTAAGTTTAAATGCTGAACATTTTTGTTTTTTACACTGAAAGAGCAATTGTCGTGTGTATTAAATTTTAGGGTATTGATTTTTTTTCTGTTTCCCCTACATCTGAGTGAGCGTTCATTTAACCAAGAATTTTTTAAGCTGAATAAGCCTTTCATAATCAATGCATTAAATAATGTATCTCTTTATTTTGTCTTGCTGGCTAGATGAGGGTAGCTGGAAGCAGAAGTATTTTAATGTGTCCAGGCACGGAAGGTCAAAAAGCAAGAGATTGAATGTTAATTCAGTGATTTTCTGGGTTTGTTTTCATCTGTGTTTCCTATTTGAATAAGCATAGAAATTGTAGGCATTTCTTATTCCAATTACTCCAAGCAGGAAAAAAACATGAAAGTATAAAGGCAAAGGAACTTAATTTAATATTTTATTAACTATAGCAGGGATCAACAAACCGTGGTCTGCAGGCCCACTGCGTGATTTTGTAAATAAAGTTTTATTGAAACACAACCACATTCATTTGTTTACATATTGTCTATGGCTTCCTTCCAGCTGTAACAGCAAAATAAGTAACTGTAACAGTACATTATGGCCCACAAAGCCTAAAATATTTACAGTCTGGTCCTTTAAGAGAAAGTTGGGGAACACTTGAGCTGAAAAATCTCTATTATAGAATTTCTGAAAACATATCTTTAGAACTGTGATAAATGATGGCCTAAGGTGTTTTAAGATCTGGATTTACCTTCCAAATCAAAACAGGACAATTTAAATTATCCTCAATACATTTAATGAAAAGTTTTACCTGTTTATGGCGTGTTGAAATTTGGTAATTTGCTTCTTTTCAATGTAGGATATTTTCTAATACTCAGATGTGACTTAACAAGAATCCCCCATAAGTAACTTCATGAGATTTAATTTATTGTAAGCATGTTCAAGATTCATTTAGCAACTTTCACTGATGATATATCAACATGCATTATTACTAACCATACCTGCCAGTTATGTTCTTTGGTAAGCCCAGTGTTTTATATCTATAGTTATAGTGAACGCTTACAACAGTTCTGCAGGATACAGTATTGTCAACCCTCTGTGCCCATGGCTAGTAATGGCAGAGTCAGGATCTGGACCCAAGTCTCTTTGGCCTCAGAATCCATTGTCTTTCTCTTCTTCCACACTACCACACTATCTTTTTTTTTTTTTTTTTTTGAGATGAAGTCTTGCTCTGTTGCCCAGGCTGGAGTGCAGTGGCGCGATCTCCACTCACTGCAAGCTCCGCCTCCCGGGTTCACGCCATTCTCCTGCCTCAGCCTCCCTAGAAGCTGGTACTACAGGCGCCGACCACCACGCCCGGCTAATTTTTTTGTATTTTTACTAGAGACGGGGTTTCATCGTGTTCGCCAGGATGATCTCGATCTCCTGAGCTCGTGATCCTCCCGCCTCGACCTCCCAAAGTGCTGGGATTACAGGCCTGAGCCACCGCGCCCGGCCCTTCGACACTATCTTTAAAGGAAGGATGGCGAATCCTTGGGCAGTTTCCCTTCATAGTTTGTTCCTGATGCCGGAGAGTATAGGTTTATAGTTCCTTCAAATACTTCTTTTGTGTCTGTTTCAGTGATAGTTTGCTGGGTTGAGCCAAATGAACTGTAGATCTGATTCTGTCCGGGAATTCTTTCAATCCTGTGTAGAACACAAAGGAAGATGCCATCTGTTTTATTATTTAGTTTCTTCTTTAAATGGTAAAGATACACTAAACCAATTCAAAATCCCAACCTAAGAAATATTTTTCTTTCCTGAACAGATAATGCTCTTCCTTTTATCAGTTCACAAAAATGGTACAATCTTTGTGTTTCCTTTTTTGCTATAGTTGCCAGGATGCTCAGAGCTAAGTGTTCTGCTAGAATCATCACTTCCATTTCACCACCTTTCTAAATTCTTGTTTCTTAGGTTTGTGCTACCACCTTTCTTTTCTGGAAGTAGGCAGAGCATAATTAATAAATAAGTGTGATAACAAGTTGATCCTACAGTGGGAAAGAAAATAAGTAATTAATATGTTGGTTATAGATTGACCTTTCTACCCACAGATCGATCTTCAGACATTCCTCACTCTCACAGATCAGGATCTGAAGGAGCTGGGAATAACTACTTTTGGTGCCAGGAGGAAAATGCTGCTTGCAATTTCAGGTGAATATAAATATTCAACTTACATGTTAAAACCTGAATAACCTCTGCCAGTGGTCTCAGCCGTTGGGTTGTTTCTACCCATTAACTGCTGGCTTACCAACCTAACACCTTGGTTGTGGTTTCAGAGGGTTTTTCTGTCAACAGTGTGGCAAATCCTGAGACTGTCTTACTTTTTCATCAAGGCATTGCCTGAAAACCTGCCTTAACAGGGGTCATATCTGAACATAGATCTCTTCAGAAATATCTAACCAAAATCACCCTATGCAGATCATGAGAAGTTGGGGGGGGGGAGTTTAATTCTCCTCTTTGCAGTTGTGTTAAACAGTAATCATTACATTAGTGAATAATTATTCTTGATTGGCAGTTATGTTTCAAATGTGTGTGTCCTTGCACACCGACTGAGATCATTGCACTGAGAAGAGAAGAATGCTGATTGCAATAGCGTGGAATCTGGCAGTGTTACTTGTCTTAATTCTTCTTAGTTTTCCCACTGTTTTAATAGAATTTATGAGTCAGAGGACATAGTATCCTGAAGATAGTCACAGAATGAAGGAAAATAATGTCTGTCTCCCTAGGCCACTTTCTTTGTGCATCTATTGCATATACAATTTAGAAAATGCTCTATACATATTTATTGGGTGCCACTCATTTGAAAGGAATGGAGCCAAATGATGAGTCAGGAGTTGGCAAATACATAGTAATGAACCTCAAAAAAGTGTTCAGAGAAATATGCGGAAATTTGAAGGAGGGAATGGGATTAGTTTTTGAAGACTTGCCAATAAAGTTCTTGAATGTCAAATTTATATGTATCCCAGTCTCAGAAAGACAGACACACCAGGGGCAGAAGCCAAGCGTCATGTGCTGTGGAAAAATGAATGCTTTTTCACAACACTGAATTTGCAGGCTATGCCTCAGTGAAGCCAGCAGTTGCATCCAACTGATGAAAGTCCATTCCAGACAGCATTCACTAATCAGATCAGCAGATAAAATTTAAAACCTCAGTGGTTTTCCATTTTATTTTAGTAGCATTTTGAATGCCCCACCCATCTTCCCATAGGAAATCTTTATCTGAAGCAGATATAGGCAAAGCAGCCTTGAAATAGGAGTGGATCCAGCCATTGAGCTTCCTGGTGGCAGCCTATTAGGTTCTTCTGTGGATAGGGTTCTACACTCATCAGTTTTACCAGAACTTCTAAACTTTCTTCTCGGATATACTGTATGTATCCAAGAGGCTCTATTAACGGAACTCAACAGGGAAGGCAATAATTCCTGCTCATAAGATCATCTTGGTATAGTGGAAAGAACACTGGATTCAAATAGGAGATCTGGGCTTTACCTATGCTAAGTTATGAGTCTTTGAGTGAGTTTCCAAACCTTTGGTTTTGGTTTATTAACCATGAAGGTAGATTGGAATTTGTGATTGTACAAAGGTCACCTTACATTTCTGAGATCTATCCTTTCATGTGATATCATCAGGCTTAGTGAAAATGGACAAAACGGTAGTTTTATTACTTGTTCTTTTTACCATCTATGATAATAGAGTAACCTTTTAAATTTGTTTTCTGTAAATCTCAGCCTCAGGGGGCTATCCCTAGACTCAAGCTAACTTTAACAGTTTTCATATTCTTTCATTAATTTGCAAATGAAATTTATATTTGAAATGTGATTAGCTTGTGCATTCACCATACCTATACTGTTGAAATATGCCTGCAGGTCAGCAATTTTATATCAGTGCAGGGCATAGTCCAGAGCTCCATAGTCTTGCACTAGAGGTTCATGGAATGGCAGTGAGGATATAGTGAAAACTAAATTCATTTTTTGGTGTCCCAACCCAATTCCGAATTCTGTAATGCTTTTAGCAACAAGCAGATAGCTGTAAATACATTCACAGGTTGTAGATAGATTATCAATATCTTTACTCTGGAATATATCAGTATCTTTTGGGGGAGGTAAGATGGGAATCAGAAAGGTTTCAAGTTCTCTATTTTAAAACAAATAATATTTTTTCTAATCATTATCTTCTTTGTCATTCTGTTGAGGTTATATAGTACTTTTGCAGACTTCCTCTCTCAGTGGGGTTCACCAGGTCCTCTTGCTTTTAAAGGGAGTTTGAGACCGACTAAAATGCTTTATGGCTGCTCTGCACAGCATAAAGGACTTGATTATTTTAAGAATAATTTTGTCTTACTTTGTTGAGTGCATTTGTTTGAACCTGGTAAATTATTTTCTCTGAAAGCAATACATTTTTATTGAGAAAATTCTTCATCAAAAAGCAAAGCTTCTTTCTCCAATTCAGCTTATCTGATAACAAAGACATCCATTTATAGTCCCAGAACGTTCTGTCTCCCTGTAGATGCAGTATAGCTGGGCAGTCTGGACTTACATTTGTCTTATGGTTCCAGATTCATTAGATCCAGAGTTTGCTTAAAATTCCTTTTTAATTTTGTAGATTTTAAACTTATAATCTAAGTGATTCTTTCAGTGTAAGGTTTTGTTTTCTTTTTAATCTCAGGCCAAAATACATTTAATGTTATAGCAGTGGATGAAATTTATCTCTAATGGAGATGGATCAAAGTATAAATTTGATCTCTTTTTCCCCAAATCCACTTTTTTTTTTGGAAAATTCACAGATTTCTCTCAGAATATGGTCATGATTGGTTAAATGTACAGGGACTCAGTGAAAGGACGCTTAGCATCCTGTCGACAGGCTTCCCACTACGGCCTCAGGTAGATCTAACATTTCCCGACCTATTCTTTTAGTTTGTGACTCTGTTCAGATCCGCAACAAGATCCTGAGAGCTGCCAGGATTGTGTGAACCTTGGAATTTCAAAGAAAAAGGTTGGTATTTTCCCAAACCATCCCTTAGGCTTACTGAAAAATATTAGAGGAGTTTGCCTTATCATTTAAAAAACAACAGCAACAACAATTCTAAAGTCTCTTCAGTAGGTCTTGACCTTGATAACCTCTCTGGAAGATTTATCTCTGTGCATCACATTTAAAAACATAAATATGAGACCAGCCTGGCTGACACAGTGAAACCCCGTCTCTACTAAAAATACAAAAAAAAAAAAAAAAAATTAGCCGGGCGTGGTGGCAGATGCATGTGGTCCCAGCTGCTTGGGAGGCTGAGGCAGGAGAGTGGCGTGAACCTGGGAGGTGGTGCTTGCAGTGAGACGAGATCGCGCCACTGCACTCCAGCCTGGGCGACTGAGCGAGACTCCGTCTCCCAAAAACAAACAAACAAACAAAAAATATATATATATACACACACATACTGTCTTAGAAACTGTATCAGTTAGGATTGGATTCCCTTGTGATCATTTTACCGTTTCAAAGATCTAGCTGATGTGTCTTTTCAGAATAAAGTTTTTAATATTTATTTTGAAAAACTTTGTCTTCATGGCCCGGTTGTTGTCATGTGCTCAGTTATATGTGTTGTATGTGCTAAAGGAGAATGTTGTTTGGCCTCATTCCTTCTTTTTTCTTTGCTGTAAAATGGGAATATCCTCCCGAACTGTACATTATTCCCCCGTGAAAAAATGGAGGCCGAAGATAGTCCCTAGCTTGAAGATGATAAAACTTTTCCAGGCTGTGTACTTAATGGGATTCATTTATTCTTAATGCTTCTATTAAGTTTGCCTTTAAATATATTCAATTCTGTCTTGATTTCTGAATTTTGAAGTACTGTGTGTGTGTGTGTGTGTGTGTGTGTGTGTGTGTGTATTTTAACAAGAAACATGTATTCAACTTTTAATAGGAATGTCATTGCCACTGTATTTCTGGAGGAACTTGAAACAACAGCCATCTGTATGCATGCCAGCATGTGTCTTTTGCTTGTAAAGTTACCTTCCTTGCTTCTTCAGAGTGAAGATGGGTTTTTCTTTTAAAAATTAAATTTGGTACGTTAAAATAGCAAATAAAGCTCTGTTATTTGGTATAGTTGGAAATACCGATTTCTCAGATTTGTATTCCTGATGCCTTGGTTGGTCTTCTCTGTCCGGTGGGTCACTGACGGCCAGTGCTCAGGGCATTGACCTTTCCATCAGGCATGCGAGGTTTCACCTCTGTCACTTAGTACCTGTGTGGGCAAGTGACTTAGTCTATTTTTTAAATCAGTTTTCTCACCTATAAAATGGAGAATGGTAATATTATCTATCCCTTAAAGAAGACGTGAACAGGGCAAAATAAATGTAAAGTGCTTGTCATACAATAAGCCTAATGAATCATTGTTATTTTCCTTCTGTCCTAAGACCTATATATGAAGAAAAGAGAGATGTCTCCACTGTTGTTTTGACCATATAGGGCATGCGTTTACATTTTGGAAGGCAGTGGGGTAAAATGTTAAGGGTGTTGGTCATCTTCCAGAACTTGGCCACAGGAGCATGTCTGGTCATATGGTCATCCTTAACGCCATGCAGTCTGTTACAACCTGAGTCTGTGTCTTCAGCATTACTGTAGATGGCCATATCTTACATTGTAACTTCACAATTCAAAAGGGGATTGTGTGTGTGTGGCTTGAAAAGTACTGAGTACCTTGCAAATACAAGGTGAACCACCTGCACTAGCCCCTCAAAGAGACAGCTTGAAGTAAGTCAATTACATAATCCCTCTAATGTATTTTAAACTGAATAAATTTGAGGGTATTTGCATTTGTTGGCATCAAAACCCTAATTTGCATAGTCTGATGATTCTGTGTACTTGCATGAGTTTGTCAGAACGAGTTACATCAGTGATTTTGAGGTGGGGGTGGAAGTTGATGCATACTCATAAAACAAGGTAGTCTGTTTCAATTAACAGTTTACCTTTCCAGTTAATAACTTTTAGTTAGCAAAAGACAAACTAAACAGTGTTTTCAGAATACTCTGATTTCTTTACAATTCTAATAGGGCAACTCACGTTTGCCCTGAAATTTTAGATTCAAGTATTTGTTGTTTGTGAGCATCAATTTTCTAAGCTGATACGATTGTTTTACCAGATTTAATTTTTTATTCAAAGAAACCTACTCATATGCCTCTTTCTAAAACTATTTCTGACTCAAAAAGTGTAGGCTTCATGAGTTGGCAGAGCCATGGGAGCTGTGGCTTAATACAGTTGACCCTTGAACAACATGGATTTGAACTGCACAGGTTCACTTATACACAGGGTTTTTTCAATAGATATATTGGAAATATTTTTGGAGATTTGTGACAACTTGAAAAAACTTCCAAACTGCATAGCCTGGAAATATTGAAAAACATTAAGAAAAAGTTAGATATGTCAAGAATGCATATGTGTGAAATATATACAGATACTAGTCTATTTTCTCATTTACTACCATACAATATACACATCTATTCTAACATGTTAAAATTTATCAAAACCTCACAGACCATATGTGGCACCATTGGCAGCAGAGAGAAATGTAAACAAACATAAAGACATTTTAAATCATAGCTGCATAAAATTAACTGTGTTATATACAGTACTACTGTAATAATTTCACAGCCACCTTCTGTTGCTACTGCGGTGAGCTCAGTTGTTACAAGTGTCTATTTAAAGCACTGTACAGCACTAGTCTCCACATGAGCAGTTAATCTCTCCAGTAAGTTGTATATCACAGTTACAAGTGATCTCTCACAGTTCTTGGGTATTTTTCATTGTGTTTAGTACAGTACCATAGACCACGAATAACACCATAGAACCCACATAAAGTGCCACTAGTGCTCTCAAAAGCAAAGAAGAGTCGTGACATCATGAGAAAAAGTTGAATTGCTTGATATGTACCACAGATTGAGGTGTGTAGCTGCATTTGCCCACCATGTCAAGATAAGTGAATCCAACATAACGACTATTGTTGTAAAAAAAAAAAAAAAGGAAAACAAAAGGAAATCTAAGAAGACGTTGCTGCAGCTACACCAGCAGATGCAAAAGCCTTACACTTTTTGCAAAATACCTTTTTTATCCTGCATTGAAAATGCAGCTTTTAGAGTGGGTGCATGATTGTTATAAAAAAGCATACTTATTGACTCCATGATTCAAGAAAAAAACAAAGTCTATATGACAACTTAAAGCAAAAGGAAGGTGAAGCATCTAAAGCTAGAGAAATTAATGACAGCAAAAGATGGTATGTTAATTGTAGAAAGAGGTTTGGCTTAACAAATGTGAAGATAACAGAAGAAGGAGCTTTTGTCAACCACGAGATAGCAGATTAGTTCCCAGACACGGTTAAGAAAATAATTGAGGAGAAAGATTGTACACCTGAACAGGTTTTTAATGCAGATGAAAGTGTCCTATTCTGGAAAAAATAAAAATGCCACAAAGGACTTTTATTAGTAAGAAAGAGAAATGAACACCCAAATTTCAGACAGGAAGGAATAGGCTGACTGCTGTTTTGTGCGAATGCAGTCACGTTTATGATCAGGACTGCCCTTATCTATAAAGCTGCCCACCCTTGAGCCTTGGAGGGAAAAGATAAACACCAGCCACCAGTCTTTTGGTTGTAGCACAAGAAGGCATGGATAACAAGAATGCTTTTTCTAGACTGGTTCCATTGATACTTTTTCCCTGAAGTCAGGAAGTAACTTGCCAGTAAAGGACTGACTTTTAAAGTTCTTTTAATGTTGGATAATGGCCCTGGCCACTGGAAACCCCCTGCGTTTAACATCAGAGTCATCAAACTAGTTAACTTGTCTCCAAACACAAAGTCTCTAATTCTGCTTCTAGATCAGGTGGTTATAAGGACCTTTAAGGATTGTTACACATGGTACTTTATGGAAAGGATTGTCAAGGTTATAGAAGAGAACCCGGATAGAGAAAACGTTATGAAAAGCCGGAAGGATTACACCATTGGAGATGTCATTGTTGTTACAGAAAAAGCTATGAAGCCATCAGGTCCGAAACAGTGAATCCCTGCTGGAAAAAAACTGTGTCCAGATGTTATGCATGACTTCACAGGATTTACCATAGAGCCAGTCAAGAAAATCATGAAAGAAATTGTGGATATGGCAAAAAAAAATAATAATAAAATAAAGGATGAGTGAGGAATTTCAAGATCAGATCTTGGAGAAATTCAAGAGCTAATAGATACCACACCAGAGGAATTAACAGAGGTGACTTGATGGCGATGAGCGTTTCTGAACCAGTGCCAGACGATGAGGAAGACAGAGCAAGCAGTGCCAGAAAGCAACGGACGTTAGACAGTCTGGCAGAAGAGTTCCGATTATTCAAGACTGCTTCTGATTTTTTTTAATGACATGGCTTCTTCTATGATAAAACAGTGGAAGAACGACTAGTACCATATAGAAACATTTTTAAAGAAATGAAAAAAGCAAAAATGGCAGACAGAAATTATGATGTATTTTTGTAAAGTTACAGCAAATATGCCTGCCTCTCCTTCCACCACCCCTACCTCTTGAACCTCTACTGCGCCTGAAACAGCACGAGCAACCCCTTCTCCTCCTCCTCCTCAACCTACTCACCGTGAAGACAACAGGGATGAAGACTTTGTGATCATTCACTTGCACTTAATGAATACGTAAATATATTTTCTCTTCCTAATGAATCTCTTAGTGTTTTCTCTGGCTTAGCTTATTGTAAACATGCAATATAAAATACATATACAGAACATGTGTTCATCAACTTACTGGTAAGGCTGCTGGTCCACAGTAGGCTATTAGTAAAGTTTTCAGGGAGTCAAAAGTCATACAGGGATTTTTGACTACATGGGAGCAGGAGGGTTTGCACCTCAACCTCTGCAGTATTCAAGGGTCAGCTGTACTTCAGGGTGCTCCTCCAGTATCCCTGTGCTTAGGTGTGGGGTCTTCTTTTCATATCTGACTTTAATAACTAAATGATTGCTGTGTTTGACATGAATGAGTTCAGTAGCTGTAATAATTTTCTGTGCCATCGGTCGTACGTCCTTTCACGAGCTTTGATTGTTCTCCTTGCCTCTGAAATGACCTTTGGAGTAGGTCAAACTGTTTAATTTGGTTAGAGAGTTCTGAGAATGGTACATCCTCCAATATAGTTTACAGACTATAATAGAAACTTTCCTGGCAGGAGTTTACGAATTGCAACAAAAACTATTTGCTATCCTTTGTTCTCTAGACTATCGATATGCTATCTTTTATACCATACTTTCTAGTATTTCAGAAATGCCTTGATCATCAACTAAAGTTTTCCCTTTGCTGCCAGACTTGACTTTCCTCAAAAAACCTACCATGTCACCATTTTCTGAGCTCTAGTGCTATGTCCTGTAGTATACATAGAACTTCTCTTGAGCTCCTAACAATTCTCTCTTTCTCTCTCTAGAACTAAATAAAAACCGAAGAAAGCTTTTTGAATCGCCAAATGCACGCACCTCTTTCCTGGAAGGTGGAGCGAGTGGAAGGCTACCCCGTCAGTATCACTCAGACATTGCTAGTGTCAGTGGCCGCTGGTAGCAGCGCCCTCTCGGCACATGCCCGCTGACTAACTGTAAAGTGGACACAGGAGATGTGTGAACAGCCTTCACAGCACACCGTCCTCAGCACTCTGGGTGTCTGGTATCAGGACCAAAGCATCTTATTCGCACCTGTACTTTATGGCAAAAAGGAACAAAAGAGAGATGTTCTTGTGATGTCATACAGAACACCAAATGTGGATTACTTTTTAAAAATGGCAGTTGGACAGAACTTGCAATATGAGGATAGGGCTTTATTTCCTGTTTTTATTTACCTATATAACATATGCACTGATTTTTTTTTTTTTTTTTTTTTTTTTTTTTTTTTTTTAAATGAAGGATGAATTGACATCTGGGAAGCCAGAAAACTTAGGAGTTATTTTGTTTGCTTGTTTTGTTTTGGTATTTGGGGATTTTTAGAAAATAGTCCCTTTTTGCCCATCAAAGTACACGGTCGCGAATACGATGGGCTTGTCCTGCGATACCAGCAGGACACCCAGAGGCTGGGACGAGTGTGCTGTGAAGGCTGTATCACACATCTCCTGGTCCACTTTACAGTTAGGTCAGCGGCATGTGTGAGAGAGCCGCAGCCAGTCGGCACCACTGACACTGAGCAACGTGCTGAGTGATAAGTGACGGGGTAGCCTCTCCAACTCGCTCCCACCTTCCAGGAAAAGAGGTGCGTGCATTTGGCCGATTCAAAAACAGGCTTTTCTTCGGTTTTTATTTAGTTTCAGAGAGAGAAAGAGAGAATTGTTAAGAGAAGCTCAAAGAAGTCTATGTATCACTACAGGACATACAACCGAAGAGCTCAGAAATGGTGACATTACGGTTTTTGAGGGAAAGTCACAGTCCCGGCAAGCCAAAGGAAACCTTTATTGATTGATCAAGGCATTCTGAAATACTAAAATATGTAAAAAGCATACAATCCGATAGCTAGAGAACAAAGATAAGCCAAAATAGATTGTTGTTGCAATTCGTAAACCCTGCCAAGGAAAGTCTATTATAGTCCTGTAGAGCGAGAGGGAGATTACCATATCTCAGAACCTCTCTAACCAAATTAACGTTTGACCCTACTCAAAAGTCAATTTCAGCGGCGGCCAAGGAGAACAACAAGCTCTGAAGGACTACGACCGATGGCAGAGAAAATTATTAAGCGACTGAACTCATTCATGTCAAACACAGCAATCATTTAAGTATCAAAGCGGAATTATAAAGAAACCCCCACACCTAAGCACAGGAACTGGGGAGGCCAGCACCCTGAATAGCAAGCCGACCCTTTCGAAAACTGGCAGATTTGAGGGCAAACCCTCCTGCTCGCCAAATGTAGCATCAAAAAACCCTGTAAATGACTTTTGACCCTCTGAAAACACTTTACCTAATATCCTACGTGGAACCACAGCCTTTACCAGGAAGTGTGGACACAGTTCTGTTATGGTTCTTATTGCATGTTACAAAAGCAAGGCCAGAGAAAACACCTAAGAATTCATTAGGAAGAGAAAAATATATTAGCGTCGTATTCATTAGGCAAGTGAATGATCACAAAGTCGCTCATCCCCTGTTCTTCAGCGGAGTAGGTTGAAGAGAGGAGGAGAAGGGTTGCGGCGTCAGGCCGGCAGGAGAGGTTCCAAAGGTGGGGTGTGAGGAGGCAGCGCCATCC